GAAAAGTTGAGCGTTTGACCACAAACCGACATGTATTGAACTAGGTTTGGAAAAAGAAAATAGATTCGTTTTTCGTCTTGTGATTGGTCATACCTTGCAGAGGGGTCGAGGAAGTATTTTGAATAAGTGTGAATATCCACCAACAGAGTACCCACAAACTTCTCATGATTTCAATATACATTTCTTTAGCAAACAAAATTTTTCTCTCATTCAGAGATGTCTTGCACCGTCGCTCTGAATGTTGCTTCTGCTTGATTGTCAAATCGGCTGCGCATGTTACTCTCGTTCTCTTTTTCTTTTCCGTCGTACTAGAAGCAAAGAAAGAAATACATCGGGCAGACTGTCTTTCTTTCTTTCTTTCTTCATTTTCTCATTTTTTTTTCGAAGATGATGATGATGATGAATCAGCACCGAAAATACGACTCCGATGCTGACGAAGAAGGAAAAAAAGAAGAGAACAACGAAGTATGTAGTACGTGCTGCTCTGTTTTCACCTTCGACATTTTCTATCCTTTAGTTCCAGCATCATCATCACTATTAATAATGGCATTAAGATGGAAAGAAAGAAGAAGGAGAAAAAAAAACGCAACGGCTTGTGTGTGTGTGTATATATACATGACACGGAATGCCACTGACGTACAACGACCATGAGAAAACAAAGATAGATGAAAAAAAACTGGGATGCGAACAGCCCGAGGAACAGAAAATGCCGACAAGAACACTAACTTGTTGTCTATATGAAGAATTTGATTAACCGGTACCGATCTACTATCGATTATTCCACTAATTGTCATATTACATTGTTGCAAAGAGTAAAAATCGACATTGATTATTTGAAAAAGGAAATTATTGTGTGCGTACGTAAGAGTATCCCGCTGTCAACAAGGCCCGCTTCAGATTGCCTAAATACGATATATTTTCGACTATGATACAGTATTACTGATGGATATAGTTAACATTGTTGAGTTGTACTCAAAATTCGTTTTATACGAGCTAAAACGAGATCAATGCGAACTTTTCTTTCTGTAACCCCAGCGCATTTATTTTTAGACGTGTATTTAAATGTTTTTATAATCGACAAAAAACGATATCGTTTGACATAAAAAACAAACAGCGGAATCTCGTAAATACTTCTGCCAAATCTTCCGATGTGAATAAACATCTCTACCGAAGAATACCAATCGTATTACGCATGTTGTCGATGAGATTTCATCGTGATGAATCAGTTAACATGGCACTTGATTGTCATGGGACTGGTTTTTATGTTGATTACACTATTCCGCAACAGCACTTCGTTCGTATGTATGACAATCAAATCCGATAACGAGCTCAATAAATCTCACTAAGTTATCAGGCACGTGCTGATGAANATGTGAATAAACATCTCTACCGAAGAATACCAATCGTATTACGCATGTTGTCGATGAGATTTCATCGTGATGAATCAGTTAACATGGCACTTGATTGTCATGGGACTGGTTTTTATGTTGATTACACTATTCCGCAACAGCACTTCGTTCGTATGTATGACAATCAAATCCGATAACGAGCTCAATAAATCTCACTAAGTTATCAGGCACGTGCTGATGAATAATAAAAAAAATGAATCGACGAGTACATTTTCGATCGTATAAGAACAAGTTTGTATCAACAATCATAAACGACGGAGAAGAAAATGTGTACTTGATTACGCAGCATCTCATCAATTGCAGAATTCCTCACTACAAACGTAATCAAGCGTGTGTATGAAGAGCGTCTATTGACGACGAATTCTTTCATCTTGAAAACAACAGAAATCGATGAAAACGGAAGATATTACCGTATATTCCAAGGCTAATATAGAACATGTAATTTATCGCGACGTGCAAACATCTGCACAGAAATACAGTCAATCTTATCTGTTTGTATTGCTTCGAGTTATTGGCAATATGGGTTATATATGCTCGTAAATAGAACGAATCCTTGTATTTCTAAGTAAACAAAAGACTACTACTAGGAATACAACATGATGTTCCAATAGATCTATATGAAAATAGTTCTGTGCTTGAAGAAGATTCTTCATGGATGTTGTTTGACGATTAGCTCAGTATCGAACAGTTTAAATAATACATAAAGATAAATATGTATGATTTCTTTGAAGTTGGTTCATCCGATCAAAGAAATTCAATGAGACCTTGACAGTTATTTCTTGATCAACGACACGATAAGCATTCTTGTTTCTAGTGATCCAAATATTTTGAACTATATGATGGCAAAATCTTTTACACTAAAAAAATATTTATTTAGATGTCAGCGAATATTTTACTCCTAAATTTTGTTTGATAAATAAACTCACTCTTCCAATACGATATCTGTTCATTGACCGGTATACTGTTGAGTTCTAGCAAACATTGTACAATGATACACCTAGGTGCATTTACAAAATATAGATGTTTTGTGAAACATTGCTCGATTGTATCATATTTTACCTTCAGTTCATTCGTTTACCTGTAAGATTCATTCAACCGTGTCCTACCTAGTCTACAAAATACACTATCGTATCTTCACATTACTGTAGCGATGTATAACCATTCATGACATTTTTCTCATAAACAAACATTGCTAAATTTCTTCGTTTTTCAATCATGTCGCACGAACAAACGAAGAAAATCTTATCAAATCTTCTCGGCTATTTCTGTATGTTGATCTTTTTCTCTCTGACAACATACATTGTCTACATATTCTACTCTACAATCGCACCCGTCGTCCTTGAAGAAAAGCAGTATGGCAAATTTCTATTTCACTTCATTTTCGGCAATTGGCTTGCAATAAATATCTATTTCAATTACATCATGGCGTGTTTCACATCACCTGGCCTCGCTAAAGATTATCAACATCTAGCACGGCAATATCCTACATGCAAGAAATGTTCAATCAACAAACCGCCAAGAACGCATCATTGCCGTTGGTGTAATGCTTGTGTGTTGAGATTTGATCACCATTGTCCATGTAAGACAGGACGTTTGAGAGCACTCGAAGAGTTGATATGTAATTGAGAATTTTAGGGCTGAATAACTGTGTTGGCTTTTATAATCATCGATATTTCTTTCAATTTTGCTGTTTTATGTCTATTGGAAGTTTTTACGCTACGATTTTCGGCTTTCGAGAATTTCAAATCAGTCGTTTGGGTATACAACTGTATGTTAAATTTATCTTTTGTTTTCAAATCGTCACATGTTTTTCTTCATAGATTTCGACATATTGACGCATTCTATAAAATACCAGATATTCTAGAAGTCTTGGGCGTTGACGGATTCGTGACGTTCTACATATTCATTTTGGCATTACCAGTCGCTTGCGCTTTATTTGGTATGAGCTGCTGTCATGGGCATATGATTAGTCAAGATCGAACGTTAGTGGAAAGTTTAGTTAATGAAAAGAGTGACGATAGTTTGACAAGTAATAAAAAGACAAGGATGGACAATTGGAGACAATTTCTTGGCGTCAGCACACTTTCTGAATTTATCGGACGAAATCTCTTCCCGAGCACGCACAAACCAAAAGGAAATGGTATCACAGCAACGAACTATTATGATGGCAATGTCAATTTACTTTCCAATCACGATGAACACGGTTCTTATGCATCGAATATCTACAATCGTATTTCGGATAATTATTTGGTTAAGAAATATCATTCGGAATTGTCGGTATGGAATAAACCGCAAGTTTTGTCAAGAGAATGGAGAAGTATTGTACAAACATGTTGAATCTTGATGCATATCAATAAATAGTGCTTCAAAACTCTCATGCCAACGTTTATTCAGTCAGCTGCTGATAAAATCTGTCGCAATCATAGTGAAGTCACATTGTATTGCATTTCTCATCTATATAGAAGTCATATTTAACGTGTGCCCACAGGTAAATCACTCACCTTGCCGAGAAATAAAACTTGACTGTCAGATAGAACAATCAGCGTATCTGAGTTTGGTTTTTAACATTTTTCTATCTTACACAAACATTCCTCTACTCGTTGACGAATATCATCAATCCATTGGAAAAACAACTTTCCAACAATTTACTAATTTTCTATCGAAAAAACACCGATCACCTGTACGTTACATAGCTAGCATAAAATGTACTTAAAGTTTCTTTCATTTCCGTCGACATACTTTATAAAATATAACATATTCCTTATGTATTCTGATTTCTTACGTCTAATAGTCTCACCCTGAAAACTCAGTTGTATTGAAACTGATACAAAGAAAACATCATCCATATAACATACCAAGATATACATTCTCGAACTGTGTAACTACGTCATACAGAATGGACATCTGACGGATCTTGACAACATTCCCAACCGTGTTTAACTTATCCTAACTGATTCTATTCACGGCAACGAGCGGATACATGTACATACATTTGTTTATTAGTTTTTTTACCGATTTCAATCGTACGTATATACAAAGAAAAATAAACAGATGTTTATAATAGATCATCTATGTACAAATCTGTTAAAAAATGATCGATATCATCAGAGCAAAAAACTAAAATAAGTGGAAATCATCGCAATTATCTGAGAAAATGCTCTTCTATGTACAATATTTATAGAAGTTTTGACTGTTTCTATTGCCTCCGATTTGGAAACACGCAGTTGACTTTAATCACCTTTTGGCCGTTGGATCGGCTTAATAAACAACACAATCGGTGTACGATTGAAGAATAAAACAATATTTTGACCAAGTTGTACTTTTTTCTCCATTAAAATCGTTACTATTGGCGTATTTGCTACTGTTTGTTGAATAAATGCACGTTTAGCCGACACCAATGCGATTAAATCATCACAATGAATTTGAGAGAGCCGCTTGCCATGCTCTTGAACAAGTTTGATAATGTCGGTTTCTTGAATAACACGAAAATTCATTTCCGTATCTTCGCGAGAATCAACCACCGAGAGGGCAATAAGTAATTGCGCCGCGTAATATGTAGTCATAACAAGGATTTGGGAATGTGTTAATGGTGTAACAAAGCGATCTAGGGCAAGAAGAGCATCACTAGTTGCAAAAAGTATACCACCTAATCGAAATGAATGAAAAATAAAGAAATCGGTTCGTTAGTTGCAAAATTTATCCTACCGAGAAAACTGTAAAACCGTGTCCATGTCCATTCATTGTTATCAATTTTAATTCTTGCCATTGCTCGCCAAATCATAAACATTGTCAGACCAATGTATGCATAAATCTATGCAAATACAAACTTTCATATTTTTCATTCGAACAGATAGATTAACAAACTTACCACATACGATAGCGGTTTATAGAGAACACCGGACAGCATTAGGTAAATAACAATCATTGGTAGAACCATAAAGGGTAACATGAACACTCGTAATGGGCGCATACCATACGCCGTCGCATAGAGAACATGTGATATTCCGAATGCGACAACTCCATGAATAAAATAGGCGTGATCATAAACAAGTAATGCATCACCAAGTAGAGAAAATGCTAAACCAGTTAAGATTCGTCGTGAATAAGAATATTCGAAACCTCGTAGATTAATTCCATGTAGTAAAATAAATAAGATTAAAGAGCATATTGGTAAACATTTAAATACTAGATAGAACATATCAGCGGTTCTGTATTTCGCTTTGGGAAATAGGATGAAGAAAATGGCAACAGTTTTGAAAAACGGTACTAATTTAGGGCCATTGCATTTCAATACGCTCGGCAATTTAGTCAATATAGTCGTCTGTGTGACGAATTTAAGCTGTGTTGAAGTCATTCTAAAAGTATGTTATGAAAATGTTTATTTTTGTTTTGCGTTATATATTTATTAGCACTTTTGGTCATGTGAAAGAATAAGATCACAAGATAAAATCTTGTCATGTGACAGAACGAAAAACTGCATGAATAAATCAACGACATCAATTTAGAAAAAAAAAAGAGGTGAATTTCGAGTCGAACAAAAGAAACTGCGTCGTTTCGATTGACTGACATGACACTTTTTGTTACATAGGTAAACGATAGTTTCGCTTCGGATTCTATAGGTTGGAAAAATTACTAAATTTACTATGCTACTATCTGAACTGAGGAACATGTGATCGGCATGAGTAATATTTTCTAAGGTCAGTGATGAATAACTCATAGAGAACTACTAGCGACAATAGATTTTCGATCGAAAACTTCTGTCTCTTGAAAATAATTTAGAAAATCGCGTCTTGATGGAAATCACATGAATTTATATATGCATCTATATGAAATTAACCAACGACTACTGACCTCTCTCAGAGTTGCTTGATACTCGAACCGTTCATTTGACCAACACGAAAAAACTCGTTCCTATTATTGACACATGATGACGAAAAAGTAAATAAGAAAAGTTTGAGTTTACCAGTTGCATTTGTCCTCGGATGATTTATCAGTGATGATGATCATTAATCTATTTCTATTGTATTATTTGATACAAACAACTCTATCAGATGTTAATGTGGTAGGATAAGATCGTAGTTTATCACCAAGATGATTCTTTTTATTCTATTTCTTCTTAGTATAATATTACCAGTGAACTACTCAAAATTTTCGATGATCAAAATGCTCGTTTTGGTCCAGCGTTGCCCGCTGCAGGATTGAAGGTAGAATGAGATTCTAGAACGAGATTTACCCTATTGCGCATTTACGCTGACAGGGCTATATAACAACGACGAATCCACCGAACGGTTGTCATAAAATGGATCCACCACCATTTGGTATTCATAAAGATGGATACCATTGGATTGCACTTATTCCTCGCACAAGTGGTACAGATTCTTGTGAATTTGTTGTGAAAGTAATATGCACATATTAGATTTTGAAGAAAAATGTTCTTTTCCTCGAACTTTCAGGTCGAAAATGCTCAACAAGCGAATTTTAGTGCGGTGATTATATATAATTATGAAGACACCTTACTACCAATGGGATCATCATCAAAAGGTGAGCAGAGAAAGAGATCATATCTAATACTTCTCTATTATGATTGTAATTTAGATGTTCATATTCCATCAACAATGATTACACATACTGATGGCTTGTTCCTGATTTCGCATTACTTGTATAATAAAACAACAGTGAATGCTACTCCAATGTAAGCATCCGCTTCTTCGTAGTGTAAAAGAATTCTTCAATGTACATAATAGGTATTATGTCAAATTAATTCCTGAACCACCATTTAAACTTGGAGTCTACATGATACCATTTATTGTTGTTATAGCTGTTTCATTTCTTGGTCTCGTTGGTTTTATTGTATGAATTCCTTTTATTGCCTGTTGATATTGATGTTGAAGTGAAATAATGTCCTTTTTGTTTGTTTAGTTGGTGAAATGCCATTTGGAACGACGTCGAACGCGTCGTCATCGTTTGCCACGATCAGCCCTCAAACAGTTGAAAGTGAAAAAGTTTGTGAAAACTGACCCGTGGGAGGTGTGCATTATTTGTTTGGATGAATTTGAAGAAGGAACGAAGCTACGTATTCTACCTTGCGATCATGGTCAGTTACTCTAGGTTAAAACCATCTCCATAGATTGATTTGTTCGTTTACAGCATATCATATGAAATGTATCGATCGTTGGCTCATTGACCATCGACGACAATGTCCAGTGTGTAAACGCTATGTCTTTCCTAATCATGATCATTCTGATGATGAAGAAAACGGTGATCGTCCACAACAAAGAGCATCTACAGAACACACACCGTTGATAAGTTCAAGTACCACCGATACCATTAATACTCCATCAAATCTTCATTATTTGCCTCGTACGTGTCTTTACCTCTCACAACAATCATTGTCTTTGTGTCTTTCAGACGTTCGTCGCATGCTCAATCCGCTACAGAATGATGTTCGCAGGATTTCAAATGTATCAAGCAATTCATCAGGTAGTATCGAAAATCTGTCTTCGTCGTCGCGACAAACTGCGACAACCACAGAAATCATATTCAATCAACCATCAATCAATTCTCGACACTATGGTAGCATTGATGAGTCGTCAAGAACGGCACAACGTCGTGCTCATCGTTACTTTGATACATTCAATGAAACAACGAACGATATTACGACATCGATGCGTTCAATCGTCGACCAGACCAATGGTATCGAAACAACTGATGAAGAAGATGACCAAATGCATTCAGTTATCACAAGTTCGGAAGATAATCCATCTTACGTTCCTACTGACGAAGAATCGGCTAGAGACACGACTAACATACATTTGTAAAATTTGTTCATTTCTGTATGTGAAAGAGTATACTGCTATTTCGCTTTTGTCGCTCAACTGTTTATTCTGTTTAACTATTAAACGCAAGTATACTTGAAAGTGAATACTGTCTGGATAATCTGTTACTGACTATAGCGTTTTTCTCGTCCTTATGTACGTGTTTACATTTGTGATACAATTTTCTGGTTTTTGTCTTTTATATTTCAATAATATATAAAATTTGATTTTTTTCAATAACTAACTCAAATCGATGCTAAACAACCTTCAACGACACCGAAAACAAATACAAGGTACACAGTACACGAATTATCGATACAGGCATGTTTGTCCATACATACGTCCGCAACACGAACAGTATCATCCAGGGGTATACATATAAATTCTTTGTCTTCGCTGCGGACGCATCACTCTCTAGCAGTATATATTTCGTTCGTCCGTCTGTAACGACTATATAAAATAAGAGATGATCTATTCATTTATTCATACTTATTCTGTGTTTCCGTCGATGTTGTCGTATACAAATATGCGAGCTACAAGAAAAAAAAACCTTTTCAAACGTGATCACCGGTTATCAGGAACGCTTCGATAATTGACACGGCGTGTCTGATGACCGGTGAAAACTGTGTGAAAATCGTTTGTCATCGGTTAGTATTCATTCTTGGCGCACTTTCACTGTTCGATGTGCCTCCCTTGGGTACATGCAAAGACTAGGGAGATGCAGGGACGGTGATAATGCGTAGAAGAAAACTATTTTCTTTCGTTTTATTCATGTTTAATGCGTATTAACTACTGTTCTGCTGTGCCACGCTATGCGAATCGAAAGTCAGCGAAGTACAGCAAACAGTTGCTAATGCCATTGTCATTTGCCAAAATGATTCGATTTAAAATGTGTCTGTTAGGCAACTGTTCAGTTATACCTCGCTCGGATACATGAATGAGCGATGTATCACCGGACAGTAGTCCAATTGACACATGTTCATCGATGATCGATTGTCTGTCTTGCTCGAAAGTTTATTTCACTGTATTTCCTACCTCGCTATTGAAAATGAAACAGCGAGTGTAGGTGATAGCAGTGGCTTGAATTCATTCGGGAATGCATTTACAATTTTCTCTTACGACTCGACATCTCGTTTCCAGTAATTATGAAAATCAATCTCAATGATGTTAATATTTAGATTTATCGGTAAACGATGACGTATGGACTGAAATTGATTGTTTGAAGATTATACAGTGAACAATATACGAATTACTGCTACATAGATTATCATATTTCTCACTTGAATAGTAGTACATTTATAGCTAGGATTATGCTAAAAAGTGGACAGTTAATTGACTGGAAGACAAATAGATCGAAGAGAAGCATATGTATACATATAAGTGTAAGTGCAGTAAAAGATGTTGACAGCAGTGTATTGGTTCGTAATGAACAAGCAAATAGGCAGTTTTGAAACTAATCAAGCGTATGTTTTGGTCATCATTTTAATAAATGTCAATAAAAACAGAATGTGTGAAAAAATATAGACTTAGTAGATGCTACATACTCGCACAGCTAGGTTACTGCCTTACTGTTGCCTTTCGATTTCGAACATCAATAGTATACATCAAGCAGGGTACCATTTACATTCATAGAATGAGGTCTATATTCTTTCGACACGTAGCGATTTGGATGTTGCCGATTTCTTAGTGGTTGACCATTCGACGCGCAGAGAATAAATTCATTCGTATCAAAGTAGTGCGACTGTGTCTTATGTTTCCTATTGAGTTCTTTCGGTGCGGGTGTTGATTTTCTCTGATTGAATGAAAGCAAATCCGATCGGTTATCTGGATTACTGGCATACATAGGATTTTTCAATGGCATCGAAGGTATTGCATTGTCTCTTTGTGGGCTGGATTGCCGATGTAATGGTGTTGTGTCAATGGACTTGTGATGTAAGAGGAGATTTGGTTGCGAACTAGCTAATGTAGGAGATGGTGCTAACCACAGTGGATTGGTACTGATCGGAACACCGCTCCCATTGATCAAACGATTCTCAAAATGTGGATTGAAGTGCATGCGATGCCTCTCATCGTGGTAGAGACGTGTTTCTGAAGGAGTTCTATGTCCATTCTGTATATAATGATGTTGGTGATGGTTGTGGGCAGTCGGGTCGTTCCGCGAAGGTGATTTTATTTGTGAAACATCTTTGGCTAAATCGTAGTCATTGTTTCTAGTCAATATTTTCCTACGAGAGAAAAACGAGAAGAGTCAAATATTTTCTCAGTCGTGATACGTACTTGGGAACAGGGGCGATTTGTGGTGGACGGAAACGATAAACTGGTAGTTTGTTGTGTTGTTGTGTGTCTATATGTTCGATGTTGCCATCAGTATCCGTAAAAATTGAACTTGTTTCATCTTTGAGAAAATCGAAAGCTAGGCTAACGGTTTCTACCTACAAGAAAAGAGTGACTGTTGTATTGAATGAGATATATGTGAATGAAGTAATATCATACCGGATCAAGAATAGGATCAGTTTGAGAAGTTGTTAATTTGTTACGTTCAAAACTATCACTGTTTTTGCGTTCATCGGTTACTGACATAGAGTTTGTTGAAATCTGGTGACGCATTCGATTATCATCCGGATCTAGCGCCGAATAACCAACAATTGTTGGCTGAAAAAAAAACAACAACATTGAATATAGATTCGCGTGGATTCATTATTATGAATGAGTCTCAATTCAGTTTTTATCACCTTTGATCCAAAGCACATCTCATAACTAGATCGTAGTTTTGCAGTGACGAACGCAGTAAACCTTGTTGGTGTTTGAAACTCATGTTTGAGGCGTACCATGTTAACCGATTAGATCATTTCAAGTAAATACTGCTCTCCAGACCAAAAGGAATAATGTCAGAGAGATGTTAATCTTTACATCGATGAATAATGCACTCGAATATTGTTGTTACATTTAAAGTGAGAGTATACATGAGTACAGGAAAGAGAAAGAGAAAGAGAATGAAAGATTGTATGTATGTTTAGCCAACAGAAGATGATGACAAAAAAGGCGGCAACAACGACTGTCGGTTACTTCTAATCAAGACTATGAGGAGCGAAAACGAGAAAGAAAGTCTAATCGCTCACTAAATTTACTCTTTCTCTTTTTGCTTCTCATATATACGTATATCAACAAGGATTTCTCTTTCTTCTTGTATTTCGCATTTCACTCAATACAATTAATGAGTTATTAATTGATAGAGAAAAAAAGGATGACCTTGGATATGGAATCCTAGGTAGCACAGATCGACATGAGAAATATATGTTTTCCATTTACCTCGGTGCTTTTCCATGCTTGTGCTCGCTGAACATCACCATGTTTGGTATGCAGCGTATCGTAATCTTTCGGTGGGAATAGAATCGGCTCGTGAGAATCAATTTTCTTCTGAAATTCTTCAGTAAGTGTTTTTATTGGATCAACGCGTGCTTCTTTTCGACTCTCGTTTGTTGATACTGTTGTTGTCGGTGATGAGACGGTCGATGAAGATGTTTTTTGTGCTTTCGCTGCATTGAAACGTTCAATATCCAATAAATTCCTATCGAGCAATTGCTGTTCCAATTGGCAGATTCGAAAACGATGATTCTCAGAAGATAGATATGCACGTAAGCGAGAGAGAAATTTTTGAGCAACACGCGATGAATCACATCGATAAACATGAACAAATGCAGGATAATGCTGACCAGTCAACGGTGAAATATATACTACACCTAATTAAAATTGTTAACAAAACCTCTTCATTCGAAATGCGATTACATACCAACGTTATTATGTAAAGTAGGTTTGCCAACTGTCGAACCAGCAATCATCGTCGCTGGTACGATGGTTGAAAATTTGGGTTCGTTATTATAAATGATCTTCACACCATCTTTCGATATCGTCACTGATGTTTTAACGAAATCACGTTTGCTTTTTGCTTGATGAATAATATCAATCGCATCACGTATTGTTTGATCGCTTAGTAATAACGCTGCTGCCGTACAGCCACAATAATCCACATGGAATGTTTTCGGCTTCGATAGTTTATGCAAGGCCATGGAGCATATCTACAGAGGGAAGAAACTTGTCAGTCTGAACTTCGGTCGATAGTAACAAGAATAAAAGTAGACTTTCTTACGTGTACATGTGAAAACAAAACATGACTCTAGTTTGCATTCTTTCTATATTTATTAATCAGACACTTAACAAAAAAGAAGAAAAAGAAAAAAGCAATACGAAGCAAATTCACTCTCCTTATGCCGTTCTTTCCTTCTATTAGCAAAACAGTACCGATATTGTAGGTGTTGTTGGTTGAAAAAACAACATCATATAACGTTTCGATTTTTTTCCTCTTCTTCTTCTTCTACATCTTGAAAAAAAAATGCGTTTTTTTCGTGATTCCTACCAATACGATGTTCGATTACGAACACAAATCACAACTGAATAAAGAAAAAATGCCCGAATTGATTGTACAAAATGCATAATAATCATTGGCATTGGCATTGGAATTTCAAATTCAATGTTAAATTGTTGGAATAAGATCGTATAAAACGAAAGACACATTCCACTCAATGCAATCAAACGATGCATATACGTTCGAAGACCATTTAAGAAACAATACACGACGTGTAAAAGATGAATCAGAAGAAGAACGAAGTTAGTGAGAGAATTATTCAATGAGGAAAATCTATTCAAACGAAAATAATCCGATACGAAGATTAGAATGACGATTAGGAAAAGATGACCGATAGAATATCTGTATGAATAGATCTGTACGATCAATGCGAGAAGTATACCAGTAAGAAAAGCATCAATACATAACAAGATGTTTGCGGAAATTTCAGAAATGTATTCATAAGTCAAAGCCAAAAGAAGATCAGTATATACGAGAAGAATTATAACAATAATATAAATCGAAAGTTTTGAAAGAGTTGATTTAACAAGGAAGAAGAGAATACACGCAAGTAGAATAAAGAATAGATAGAGAAAAACTAAAGTTGATTCAACTGAAGCGAATATCATAGATTTTCATCAATGATGCGCGCGCACTACCCGTATTTATTTGGTTAAGCAATCGTTCATAAAAATCTTATTCATCTCGTTTTTTTTTGTGTTACTATTCAAAACCACTATTTGTCTTGGCAATGAAACATATTTACACATGTTACTCCTTACCTTTGCGTCTCCCCGCACTTGTCATTTTATAATAACTTTATGATATAGATAGAATGATGGTAATGGTTCTTACCATACCTCTCGTTTCTCTTTTTTTATGGTAGGACAACACTGTTAAATCAATGTCTTATCATGTACTTGATATTGTACTCTATAAACACATTCTTGATTCTTGTATTTAGTTTTATCTCTCGGTCATCAACACATTCTTTCTTGTCCTTCATCATATGCACATTTTATTCTCATAGAAGATCAGATTTAAACACATTTGCACGATAATATTGTAGCAATTGAATGGATCCTTTCAGTTCCGTTACCAGGTCATTCGAATCTGTTTGGATGATCCTAAGAGAGCAACAATCGTTCTTGAAGAAATTTCAAGGAGAAAAGAAAAATAACGAACGGTCGATTTTCGTAAACTTGCTTCGCCCATCGTCGACAAAGAACATTTAAAACATCGACATCGATACTTCGATAGTGACAGCAAGCGAGAAATTCTGGTGCGACACGTTCAAGTCTCGCTCGATCAATATGGACACGTTGACCACAAATCGGTGAAGATCGATTAACTAGAATATTTCGATGTAGAAATCCAACTAATGACGAATACTGATTGCATTTGCTATTCATGTCAAGATAAAGATCGTTTAAAATATTTAAATTTCCATCGGTGATAATCACATAGACATGATTCATTTGATCAGTATCAGTTTTCAGCCAAACTAGATGAGTGCGAGGATTGGAGAGTACAGGTGCGGATACATATGGTGGGTATCGAATCGAATGCCAGCCGAGATAAAAATTACTATGAAAATATGTGTAATCTCTCACTGAAATCGAGAAAAAAAAAGACGATGATAGAGTTACTGTTGTCGGTAATGATTAAGTTCATTAATAGATTCTTTAATATCATCACGGGCTCGATGCATCATCTGTTTGTGGGGTCGTTTTGTATATCGTATCGGTTGCCAACGTAAGGTCAATTCCTTGAGAGTGCTACCTTGAAAAATAATCCAATATGATTGATTATTTAGAAAAGGAATAGAAGATATCGATGTATGCTCACAGTCAACAATACTTGGATGAAGAATGGCATTAAGACGTGTCATATATTTTTCAATGAACCTGAAAGAAATTGAGCGGAAGTGTTGTTTTCAGGAGGATTCGTTTATACGTGAACTGAAATTCTGACGAAACTCACCATCGATCGACAAAAACTGAGTTTCCTGCCAGGATTCCACAACCGAATGGACAATGTTGTTTTAGAAAGTCTAATACTATTGTTTCTGCATCGTACAGTGACACTCGACTCTGTCGAATGAGATCAATTAGACCTGATTTGGTATGTTGTTCTCTTGACCAGTCATTCATTCGATCCAAAACGTCTTGTTCATGATGAATGACGATATCTGGACCTGATGGAAAGAAAGGAGACGGATGCAAGCGTTGACAAGAAAAGGTCTTGAACCTTCGAGAAAGGTTTTCAGATGAAAATCAGTCACTGCTATCGCTATTTCCACAATTGTGTGTACATTCAAATCTAATCCGCTCATTTCCAAATCGATCCAGACAAGTAAATTGGGATCACAATCATTTGTCATTGCCATAATGTGAACGAAAATCAAAAGACGTTTATATCTGAGGAAGAATAAAAAAGAAACATTTATTTTTTGTTCGTGAAGGTAAATGGAAAGACAAAGAAGATTGTTTATTCAAATCGAAGCAAATATTTCGGTAAACTAGTTTGTTCGATTCGTCGATCTTCTTCACACATTCGAGCAGAATTAATCTCGGGCGGAAGATCGTATTCCTGTATGTTTGATACGACGCGACCTTTATGAAAACGAGCTTCGCGTTTAGCTAATAGACGATTGAGATCAGCACGCTCAGCTTCGCGGTCGTGTTCGAATTGTTGTAAACGACGTCGTAATCTATGAACAACGGAAAAGTAAGTCATTAAGAATAATACGATATGAAAGTTTACTCTTCGTCGTAGTTGTTTGAAAGTAAAAGAGAATTCTAAAATTTAGCATTGATGAACAAGAATTTCAGAGAGTAACAATTACTTCTCGATTGTTCGTTTGTGAGTAGAAGTCGTTAACCCGACGATCGAATTCTTCTTCGATTTGTAAGTTGCTACATAGAAACAGAATATGAAATTTTTCAAGATTCATATAAATCCTACTTCAATTCTTTGTCTTCATGTTCCGTTCGCTGCGCTTTTGCTAGTAATTTATCGATACGTTTTCGACGGATTTCGTTCAAATTGGCTCGGTATGTATTGAATAATTTGATCGGTTCTTGTTGTTTTCTTCAAATTAAAAGAGAGAGAAAACAAATAAACAACGATCGGACTTGAAACTTTGATCGATCGACAGCTGTCCGACTGATGATATTTTCAAGAACATGAAAATAGCAGCTGGTGAATTAAACACAAAGCTTCTCTTAGTTAAGAATAAACGATACGGTAAGACATCAAGGTCAGTCAGTTTGTGAACGAATTAGTGACGTTACACTTTAGAGAGAACCATTCAAAATCGAACGACTAGAGATGTCGTAAAGAACTTTCGATACTCTCTGTATCGGATTAGACATCGCGAGAGACAAACGATGATTTTACCTTATAAATGCTGATGGTTGATTGACAACATCAGTACCATTGATCTGAATAAGAAAATAGTTGGTGTATCAATTTCAAAAAATTGAGAGAGAAGTGTAACTGACTAGATTTGTTTGTTTCACGAGTGTATTGGGATGCACCATTGATCTTAGTTGATAATTTGCATTCGGATCGGGTGGAATATCTTGGCGAGTCACAGGCCGGGTGGCAGATGCGCTTCGAGTCATAAACGATTGTGTTCGATTAGCCGAACGTATGAAACTGATTGGTGCACTATTATTCTGTTGATTATGCGAGGATTTCGACAAGGAAAGTTTAGACGGCGATTCTATTGCATAAGGATTTGATGAAGGAATGGTTGAGGACGATTCGTGCATGTTTGATGGTTGTAGTGAGTTTCTTGTAGATGCTGGTTGATTGGATATAATCGAAGAAGTCAACGGCGAAGGAAAACGTGCTAGTTCATTATGTTTCTCTGGTGTTGCATCAAGTAAGGCAGATAGACCATGTCGATTGGCTGCATCTTTGAGGATCTTCAATGTTACTGAATCACCGCACTGTTTCAGAATTTCAACCGCCCTGAGAATTAAGTATAGAGATAGATCAAAGTGAGATACAAGACTTACTTTTCGTGCGTCATATTGACGAGATTAGTTTGATCAACAGTAAGAATCTGATCGCCTACTTGAAGGCGGCCATCTTTTTCTGCTGCACCATTTGGAATAATTCCTCGGATGTATATTCCTTGATATGGCTGATAGTCGTTCTTCAGAAAAAAAACAGGATAAAACAGTAATCTGTCGGACATCAACATTTATTCTCTGTCTTACTGACGCGGAGACCACAGTTAAGCCAAGATTGTTGTTCTTTTTATTCAATACAATCGTTTCTATTCGATCGTGATCACGATTTTCATTCTAAGCGTACAAACATGAAATCATTGGAACAAAAACACGATGCTTTACTTTTGGCGGTGACATAAATTCCGTCCACATTCCACGGCTGTGTGGATTGAAAAATAAACGACATAAAATGGATTGATTGATCGATTCAACGAATTGAAACAACTGCTGAGGTATACCATTCAAACTTTCGAATGTATACCCATCTTCTGGTAATATCACTGGTACATCGACATCAGTTTCTTCTGCTAGTTGAACAACTAAACCTTGACGATGTATGCTCTCATCAACATATTTTTGAGCAGCGGTTATCAGTCTAAAACGAAGTGTAACTCAATCGAAGTCTTCAACCAAAACTTACGCTTGACTAAAGTCATTGCCGATTGGTAATTCATTTTCATCTAAAACATAGTGGTGCAAGACGTATTTCACTTGTAAGGAATTGATTTTCCATGGATTATTCAACAGCAGTTGTTGGACATCATTGACGTCGCACTTCGAACTTTTCAATAATGAACACAATTGGTTAACCTTCATTAGATGGCATTCGAATGGAAATTCTAAACCCTGCCGTTGCGCCCATGTGCTAATTGATTTAAGTCTCATAGAAAATCGCTCGCCCCACGCCGATGAACATAGTTTCAATTCCGGGGTACCGATTATTCGATTGAACAACCAAGTATTGATGTACAGAAATATCTGTGAGAATATTTGTATTGTTAAACTTGCATTCAGTCGACATTTGTGTAAGAGATCTAACAGTGATGAAAGTAGCTTGAGAAGATCGTCTAATGTTGCCGAACGAGAGATACTAGAAGATTGTTCGAGATTATCTTGTGTATTGATTAGAGCATACAGATGTTTATCGAGAACACTGTGTAGAAGATTAAGAAAATAATAAAACAAGCGTTGAGTAAATGAAACTAAATGTATTTGAATATCTGTTGAAAGTTTGGTTAGATCGCGATCTTGTTTTAAAAAACTTGTAAATTCAGTTATATTGCCGAACCAATAAGCAAGATAATCGCCATGATGTTGAGACTCCTAAACGAATAGTTCGTTATTTGTACAGATCGTAACAAACGAATGCATACTTCGATCTTCTTGTTGAACATATCTTCAATGCGGTAGAGAAACGAGCGAACATCCTTTTGTTTTTGTATGAACGGAATATTCGTGTTTCCGTAGGGCGATAAACGATATCGTAGTGCCATGTACATCGTGTAAGCAGGAAATAAACGAAAATGAATATTAGCTAACGGATAATCAGCAAACACAGCGTGAAGAAAGCGGACTTCAGCTAGTTGGAAAGATTGTTCATTTAGTGCATTGGTTTTTTTTTGTAAAAGATCTTACTTTGAGTCGGAACGTCTAATAAACCTGGTAGGACGTCGATTTTCGTTCTAAATAATAAGAAATCTTCGATTTTCTGAGGAATAAAATCGTATTTGTGTACTGAGAGTTATTAGCCTTCGTGGGTGATGTTGTTCTTTCTTGAACATTCATTTTTGTTGATAATGTCGGTGCTGAACTGTAGATCGACGATGTTATCGGATTCTCAACACGACTTCGTCTCATTCTCTGTACCGTTTGCAGATCAACATATCGAAATATCGAATTTCGTCCAAAACAAATCAGTACGCCATGTTGAAGCGTGTGTGATGTTGGAATCGGTTTCCCATTAATACTGACCTCACCGCGTGGAATCAATCGGCATATTCCGTTTTGATTTTCTATCGTGCAATGATCGCGGTCAATCATTGAACCGTCAAGCTACAACGAATGAATCATCATTCTCATTATCATTTTCGATCGAATAGGAAACTATTTACAAAGAGATAATTCTTGCCAATGGCTGCTTTCGTATCTCGACCGACATAGGTCGTATTCGGATGAAGTTTGCATACTCGAGGTGATAAAAGATCCGTACCATCTAAATTAAATTATCAGCTGCAGTTAGATTTTGAAAAACAAGAGAAGAAAAAAAAACAAATGTTTGTACCATGATTGACTTCGATAAGCAGAGGATATTGATCATTGATCGTTCGATCTTGTACGGTGGGAATCTGAGAGATTTTTAAAGCTAATTCTTGTGCATGAAGACGTTTTCGCAATTCGATGTATTCGGTAGGACATTTGCTGATTTTGAAAATAATCGATCCTATGTAAATAGAAATCGAGTGAAAGTATTCGAATTACTTGAAAAAGATTAACCTTGATTTTTTTGTATATGATTCAAGTAAATATGCAACGGACATTCTTTATCATGAAGTATGACTTGTTTGATAGATTTATTGTCCATTTGATTGTAAGGTGGAAGAATGATCTTCAAGAATATGACGAAGAGACTTTCGAATCGTAAAGTATCACTTTAACGATCGTTACCTGTGATAGACAGTATGTGATTGGATGTTCATATTTCATTCCATATTTGTTCAACATTTCCTTCACGACCCATTCGGCCGTATCGTTGAGCGACAGAAGAAACGTTTTGTAAGGGATGGAAGGATTCAATTCATCGCCGAAGATCTTCACAGTTCCGCCTGCAAATGAAGAGAGGATATTTTAGGCAAAGAAAGAATGATATGCCACACCTTCTTTCGTTGAAGTTCGACTAAATTTTTGCTTTAGCCGACTCTGTTGAAGTTTTTTACCCATTGGGAAAAATTGATTAATGAACGAGTTGATTGATTTGTTTCGAACTTCACAAATGATCGAATATCATTCTCCTTGATTCCATTTTTGTCTATGAAGAGTAAAAAAAATAATTCCTCCGTCTTTTTCTCTTTCGTTCTTTCGTCAAAGTAATTATCGCGTATGTCGTCGTATTAAATACGATTTAAACGTGCGTCTTAACGAAAAAAGAAAGTGATTTATAAATAATTGCCCAATATACAACTCGGACAAAGGAAAATACATTAGAACATTTGATGGTATTCACCATGAATGAGACTAAGGTCAATGTTTGATTACAATGAACTTCGAGGTTAAGGGCTTATCGATCTACTAAACACAGATGAGTTATCGGCGAAAAGAAGAAATTTTCACTAAACATCTCCGGTTTCCACGCTGAGTGACATTTAAACCTCAGGTGGTCGTGTATAACTGACAGCCATGAAAAACAACGTTTTCATATGAAATATCATGTCGTAAAACGTTCTTGGATGTTATTTTTGCATATATTACACGGTACTTAATTGCTTGAGGAAGAAAACGGACAGAAATGCAAATTCTTGTCATATACGTCACTTTTGTAAAGGAATATAAACGTAGTGTGAGAAAAATTGCCGAAGAAAAAAAAATAGATTCACACATTTCTCAATCCAATCAAAGCAATGCACTTATGCTTTCAACAAGTTAATTCATCGTGATGACAATCGTTCTTTTACTATTGCTTTCAAATCATGGTGGCTAGATATTGTGATCGAATACAGAATACATGTGTCACATATCGGATACGCTCGTTCGTTCCATGAACGGATAGATAAAGAATGACTATATCAATCGGAATGGGAGACAAGAGGTCGCTTTTAATGAATCTGATATAACAGTCTACTCAAATGGTAATAAATAGTCATAGAAAATTATATGAAATTCGTTTGCAATGTTTTTTGTCAACGGATTTCTATCAATGCAAAGAAAGTTTCACCTTTCGATTGGTTCGTTACTTTGAACAAAAGAAATGTCTTTTGTTATCTGCTTCTCAACGGTGCGAAAAGTGAGTATTTTCATCGTAACAAATAAGGTTAGTAGTCACGTCGCTTAATGTTAGGAATGTTGGAAACATTCCAAACGAGGGAGATATATGCGTGTGTAAAACCACAAACCTCATTTCATTTTGGCTCGTATCGAGGAAAAGTATTCATTATTTGTGGCATATTTAGATCTGATCGAATATTGTGTACCCATTTGTGAAAAAGAATGTCGTCATCAACGAAAAAGTTTACCGTAAGTTGGATTTAGTCTACATGAGTATGATTAGTTGGGTGTTTGTTTAGATTGCGGTCGAAGGAAATATTGGTTCAGGGTAAGACTTTTCGAATGTTTGATGTTATTGTTATCGATGTTCTCTTAGGAAAAGTACTGTCCTTGCTCATCTTAGTAAATCTTCATTGTGTGAAGTAAGAAAGAAGGAGTAAAGTCATCGATAATATCATTCGTTTCTGTTCATATCAGATTATTGCCGAGCCAGTGGAAAACTGGACGAATTTGAAAGGACATAATATATTGGTGCGTGTTGTGAAAAAAGTACATATTCAATTTTGAATGGCATCATTTAGGCTATGCTCTACGATGATCCTCATCGATGGGGTTTCGCCTTTCAAGCAAATGCTCAAATGACGTTGGCTAAGTTACATACTCAAACAACCAAGGCACCTGTCAAAGTCATGGAAAGATCGATCTATAGTGCGCGATACTGTTTTGTTGAAAATCTATACCGAAGGTAGGCTTCCATTCGATTTTTCTTCGAATTCACTTGATTTTCATCTAGTAAAATCCTCCATGGTGCTGAATACGAAATATTAGACGAATGGTTTCAAACCCTCGTTTCAGGTGGTTCATGTGACCTTGATTTGATCAGTAAGTATCACCGACGACGTAATTCTGCTGAAAGATAACTTTTTGTATAGTTTATCTTCGTGCATCACCGGAAACCTGTCTTCAACGTATCCAAATGCGGCATCGATCAGAAGAGGAATCGATTGATCTCGATTATCTGCAAACGTTGCATGAACGCCATGAAGAATGGCTTATCCAACGTAATCGTACAAACAATTCGCCGCCTGTTATTGTCGTTGATGCGAACCAAACGAAAGAACGTGTTTATATTGATACTAACACTCATGTTAATAATCTTGTTTCGTGTTAAAAGTTTTCTTCGAGTAATAATTTGTATTTGAAATCAATAGCTGTTCATCTATGTAAATAAATGAAATCCTAACGAACAAATTCAAATATGTTTTTCGTCTATAAGCGACAGACGATGATAGATGGCGTTTCTTCATCAAGATTTGCTTTAATTTATACCAATAATATGTCTGAACTTTCGGTATATGCATACATTACCTGTCATCATCAATATTTCGAGTAGGCCATATGAAATTCAATTACCGATCGATCAAGCCTATCTCAAGGATGTCTAGTTCATAAAAATTCTCCCTGTGGGTATTTTCGCTAATGATATGATCAGCCGTTTTTCGAAATCTTATAGATCATTAATCAGCAATGGAGTCCGATGTAACAGTAACTAATGCTTGGGTTCATCGTCGATTTTTTCTTTCGAATCTTCGTTCTGCTTCTCGATTATTTTGTTGTAATACGTCGGATGGATTTACTTTCGGACAAATTAATCTCGACGTAAGTCTATCAGATGTAAATTCATCAATGCAACATCTCTATGTTCAGAATGATGAACTCATCTGCGAACCAGTCGATACGAATCATTTCGGTTTTCAAATCAATCACCTATGCTGGCTTCCATACACAACACATCGACCATCTCAGAAAGAGATCAAGTAAGAGCAACTTGTTTCGTAACATTATATTCTCTGCTCTTCTAGAGTTGGTTTAACTACATTACCAACTGCTAACCGCACTGAACAAATGTCAGCGGTTTATCACACGGAACCAGAGAATTCTATGCAAAACTTACGAGTATATTCCAAAAAGAAATGAATGAACTTTTCCCAATCCTTTTTACTTCTAGTGGCTCGATGGAACTACCCATTTGACACCATTGTCCATGGACTATAGCAAATCGTTAGACCAAATAGCAGTTGGTCATTTGAATGGAACTGTTAAGATATATAATCCATCCCAATCACAATTATGTCACGAAGTGACCTTTGCTAATCACGGTGTGCTTCATAAGATCGAATGGAATCCAAAAGAATCTCCTCTTGTACGTTATTATTTTTCGATTGGCACAACTAAAAAAAAGAGAACGATCTTCTTTTCTAGTTGCTTCTTGCACATCAAAACCGGCTAAATATCTTTGATTGTCAACGAAAAACTATTAATTTATCATTGAATAGCACGGGAAAAGAACATATCGCAGATTGCACATGGAAAAGCAATGATGTTCTTGTCGGTCGTCAACGACAACAAATACTTATTTGGGACAAACGAATTAGTCGGTATGTAAACGAGATTTGAAAGACGATTGCACTGCTTCATTTATGAAATTCTAGTGAACCAATTCGAAACGAAACCTTGGACATATTTGGCCATCCGGAAAAATTAAAATGCAGTTTAGCATCACCGAATCATTTGCTTTCATTGTACGATTCTCGCCTATCGAAACTAAAAATTTATGACTTTCGCTATCTTACTGTAAGTTTGTGGTTCTCTATTTCCATGTTGATCTGATGAGAATTGCTTTTAGATGCGGCAAGTCGAATCTTTCGATGACCTATCGTCATCATTTCTTGATTATCACTGGACGGTTGATCAAATGGCTATTGTTGTCGCTACACATCAAGGCCAACTACATTGGATTGATGTAAATGTTCCATTGAATTCGAAAGCGTTGAATAGAAGATAATAAACTTAACAGTGTGAATACGTGTGTGGATGTTTGTTCTTCGCTTGGATAGTTTTATTTATTTTTCTACGAATATTTCATTGTTCTTGTTTCTTATTTTTATTCTCGATGAATTCTAATGAAAATAAATCATCTAGTACTAATTGCCGATTCAAAATAGATTGAATCAACAAAAGCTAACATCTATTTTACCAATCGATTCGAATTTCTTAGAAATCTTCAAGATACGTATTATCTACGATATTATTCGATTCTAGTTTGAATATATTAGAATAAAGATGTACTCCACGGACAAATTTAACATACTTTTCACTTGGTGAATGATTTCCAAAGCGATTTATATCCATAGATAGGAAGAGAAGACGATCGGCCTATTGAATCGTACTTCATCGAGAATAGAAGGATGTCGACAGGAACATTCACGAAGATACCGGACGAAACAGTTCGTTCGATATTTATCAGTAAGTCATACGAAGGCCAACAGAAAATATTTGATCATTATTTTTGCCTTCTTGTTTGCCATTTTTTAAGTACCATGGCATCAATTTTCAAATATCTCTTGTCTGTTTTGGTATTTCTTTGTACAAGTGGTCTGTTACAAGAAGGCATGTTTACTCAAAGTTTTCTTCGTTTTTTCTATCCTTTTTATTTATAGTTGCAGCAAGCTGGTCCGGTGGTTGGAACAACCGTGGCTCGCGTGGACAGAAATGGAATGGGCGTGCACTTAACAACGACATCAGTTTGTGCTTTCCTTTCTATTTCATATGATCTGATTATGACTTTTTTACTAGGTTCTGTTTCTTACCTTAACTCAAAAAGTCGCCAATAAAGGGCAGCAACGCAGTTCACGAGTTCTCTTTCACTGAAACTCACACAAGTTCTGTTAGTTTCTGTCTTATCGGAGTTTATCGTATATGTATATAATGTTTTTTTCTTACTGTTGTTATTAAATAAATAATATGTACAGAGTGATCTGATGACTTTCTCTGAAATTCGATGTACCTGATCAATGTGTTCCGGAATATTCTGTCGAAGTTATTGATAGACGTGACGAGAGAAAAGAATAGAAAAAAATCTTGTAGAACTTCGAGAGCGTCTTATGATCGTGTAACAATTGAAAATCATTGCATGTTATTATGACTATAATAACGACGTCCGCCGATGTTTCACATTCATCATATATCAGCAAAAGTGTCTATGAGAACGAATTTTTCACCATACCGAAGCATGGTCCACTTTGACGAGAAAAGTGGATTTCTTTGCGTTCTTTTATTTACGTTTCGATTTCATCGTTTCACTTAGCACCACTTTATAGCCAATCAGTAATATTGTCTTTGTCGAAATCTACTTCGTCCGTCGCGTTAGCAATGACAGTGAACATGACAAGAGACACTCTTTGTTTGAATACAGTATATATACAACTATGATGTACACAGACTAGTTATCACACGTCATTTACTTTTGTTTCTCGTATATCTGTAAGTAAAGCAAGCTTTCATCTCTTTGCTTACATATTTTTCCTCTACCCACTAGGTAACTTACGGCGTAAAGAAGAATGTTCATGATGTCATCAATCATTAACTATTTGTTATTGGTCTTAGTGGTTATTTGTGCTAGCGGATTGTTACAAGAAGGTTTGCTTGTCTAGCGAACTTTTTCATGACTTATACGAATTGTTTTTGTTTCCAGCTTCAGCACATTGGGGCTGGGGTCGTGGCTATGGACGTTGGCATGGTTATGGTGGATACGGTAGATACGGTGGATACGGTGGATACGGTGGATACGGTGGATACGGTGGATATGGTGGATATGGTGGATATGGTGCATATTATGGCGGCTACCCATACGGTAGCTGGGGTGGATATACCTGGGGTAAAGATTTGCATTTCATTTTCACTATCATAAACGTTTCTATCTTCTTTAGGTCGTTAATGCTATACGGTTATCGACTTTAGTCCACGCCTTCAACTACTTGGTTACGTCCTTTTCTTTCTTTGTTAATGTCGTGTGTGGTTCTAGTCAATAATTTACTTCACAATGAATCAGTTGTATTTACTCTCTGCAAATCTTCAATAAAATATCAAATCAACACACATTTGACTTTCTCTAGACGACTGTCAGCAGAGCAGAATGTTTGTGTGACTTCATATTAGTAGCTTTGATGTGAAGGTGCCAGAAGGCACAACTAATGGTGTGAAAAACATCAACAGAATTCATATAATTCTCGAAATTGATTAACATATGGTAGTCAGTCGTGTTCATCGAAAATCCTCTCTCTTTAACAACATTTCGGCATCGTATCACTTGTCTACTTATCAGTTTGTGCCGAAGAATCACTAGATAGATACTCTGTTTCAGTATTCATCAAAGAAGAAACAATTTCAAGCTTATGAACACTTACAGAACTGCAGCGTATGATTTACTTTCATTTCAAACGCTGTCAATAACGACTATCAATACCTTTTGTCGATTCACTTTCGTTCGAATCAGTTTGAGGAATAACAAATTCAAATAAAATACGTATCTATTACGATTACGACAATTTCAAACTGTTCATTTTGTAGTGACGATGACGATCATGAACATTGCACATACTTCATTTTCTACATGGACGAGAGAAAAACAATCCTTTGTATTCTTTTGTTTACATTGCACTTTCATCTTACTTATCACTGTCTCACAGTCCATCAGTAACATTATCTTCAAATCTATCTGCTCGATATCGACGAATTATCTTGTAAAGATGTTGTTCATCGTCTATCTGTAAGTAATGCAAGTTTTCTAGGCGGTTGTCTGTATGCTTTTCATCTATTTGCTAGACCACTTCCAATCTAAACGAGAGCATTGATCATGCCGTCAATCATCACCTGTTTATTAATGATCATGGTTCTTCTTTGCATTGGTGCAATCTCGTTTGCATGTATGTTTGTTGCACCTTTCGGATGACTCCACTAAACGATTTTTCTTCTTAGCAGCAGACAGATGGATGGCTCAAGGTAATGCGCCGTGCCATCATAATGGACTTCCTTGTACCTGGACTGAATAAATCCAGCTGAAATACTCTATTTCGACTAACACAACAATCTCTCTCTCTCACAAATATTTATGTCATCATCGATGACCATAAGTAGGAATGCGTTCTCCACGCGTTCGACTTCTTTCTATAATCCACTGTAATTCGTCATACCTTTTCTTTCGTATATTAATATCGCGTGTAATTACAATGAATAGTTAGTTATACTCCCTGTGTCAGTAAATAATTAAATATAACATTAGTTCGTATATAACTTCCTATTGGAAACATAAGGTCGAAGAGTCGTGAAAAAATGAACAGTAACGGACTCGGCATAATGTTGTAAGAATTAGTAACATGGAGGGAATGAACAATTGCACTGTTATTGAAGGAAGTGCGCAAATTGAAAAGGCATTGATCACATTCAAACAATCGATGTTCGGAGATTAGTTTATCTACAGAATAAAAAGTATTGAGCACTATTCATAATACGCGATCTAGAATACACGAAATTTTTCTATTATTCCGTGAAACGACTCGTCTCAATAAAGTGCAAGGTCAACTGGAAGTTCAGAAATTTAAGAAATTGGATAGACCGTGCAAACAGTTGCGAATAAAATGCCATGTCACTGTCATGATATTATTTTCTGTCTTAAAGAGAAAAGAAATTAACATTGCAATAATAAAGAAGCTCATGAGATTTGATGTACGTTTCAGGAACGTAGTATTATCGTTAAACACTTTCACATTCTGGCACGTATATATTGTTAACTATCAAATCAAAAAGATTCATTATGTTGCAGATTGTTTCAATTAGCTGTAGCCCTGAAGTACTATCGATGCATAGACATACGGCAGTAACAGTAATCCTACCTACGAGTCTATGGTTGCTATCATATCAAACTTCTCAATAGGAAGATTATTAGTTCCCTTTCTTACTTGAGCACATAGTCGTCTACATATATAAGAAACAAATACGTCTTCAAAAGGTTTAATAACCCTTAAATCCCAACGATTTCATCAAAGCCATTGAGTACAAGACTGAACGATTAAGGGATTGATCTCAATACAGTCTCAAGTTTTCTATTATTGTTTGAAAAGTTTGTTACTCAGCATCACTGAAATTTTACTAGATGTCTATCTAACCTCAGCAGATCTAAACCTCAAAAATTAATTTAGATTGCGGTGTAAATTAGGTGTTGAACCAAACTTGTTCTTCGAGTTCAACTGTGACATCCCTTCTCAAAGTGACCGATAGTGACTACTAGTACGCTTTGTGAATTATCATTTTCAATTAAACTCACACATTTTGGCAGATATTCCTTCCTAGTAATGAGCAAAGAACATCCTAACAAATACAGTAGTGTCTCAGAAAGTCAGCATGCATCGTTTGGTCTTTTAATCCTTACGAAATCGTGATGTGTGTATGACAAGGAAAAGAATGAGAATGATTCATCTCTCGGACTATTATGATGATTTACCAGTGTGATATCAATAAATGCACTTGTTAATATGACGTTGTCGGACTGTCTCACCGAGAAAGAACTTGTCTATTTCTTTCAAAATAAGACGCGCTTTCGCCATGTAAGGTCATAATTCATCTTGACAAGACGAAGAACGTTCTTTACGTTCTTTTACTAAAGCGCACTTTACAGACAGCGAATAACACACTCTCCAGGTCTCTTTCTGATCTCATTGAACGTCATCATGTGAAAATGTGATTCGGCCGGTGAGTCAAAGAAAATAGAAAACAGCATGAGAGGATCTTTGTTTGAAAACAGTATATATACAACTACGATGTATACAGACAGACTATCACACGTCATTCACTGTTGCTCGTCATCTATTTGTAAGTGATACCGTCTTCTACCTATATGTATATACCTTTCCATTCATCTGCTAGGAAACTGACGACATAACGAAGAACATTCATCATGTCATCCATTGTTAACTATTTGTTGTTTGTCTTGGTTGTTATTTGTACCAGCGGATTGTTACAAGAAGGTTTGCTTATTCGACTTTCTCATGATCTTTCTCAATTATTTTTGTACTTACAGCTGTAGCATGGGGATGGGGATACGGATCTAGAGGCTACCGTGGCTACAATAACTATCGTGGATACAATAGACACCGTGGTTACAATGGCTATGGTGGATACAATAGATACCGTGGCTACAATGGCTATGGTGGATACAATAGATACCGCGGCTACAACGGCTATCGCGGGCAATACAGATATCTTTGGTAATAAGGAAAGGTACAGATTCTTGTTTTACCTTAGCTATCAGAGCAACATTTCTTTTCTTTAGATGGTTGTTCATAGTATTAAACTAGCGACTTTATTTTGCACCCTCAACTTCTGTTCTCTCTGTTTCACTTAAATTTTTCATGCCTTTTTTTGTATATCAATGTCGTGTGTAATTCTAATGAATAAGTTGTTCCACAATTAGTTAGTCAAACTTGTCCTTTAACAATACTCAATAAAATATCAAATTCCATCCTATTTGACTCTTTTTAAACGATTGCTATCATGAAAAAGACGATTTTTTCTGAATCGCACTCAATGCTCTATGGTGCAGAAATGTATAGATCAATGAATAGTTGTCTGGATGTCTCTGTCATTTCGACCGAATGGTAATAATGACGTCAGATCAAACTGGAATAGAAAGAAAGAGAATAGAATAGTTATATTCAAGCTCAGTCATACAGACCGAAGAATTATACACATCACGACATGAGTGGAACTTGATTTTTATTCCATCATGAATATACGTAGTTGTACAGCGTCAACAAAAAAAATACATTTCAATATGATACTCTCTTATATCTTTCAAGATAATTTAGTTTCATGCGAAATGAGATTAGGTAGGAAAAATTCGCCCGTTAATCCGTAATATTTGTCAGTATATTTTGGAAAACGTCGGTTGGATATAACGTCGATCCATGGTGTTGAATGTATTGCGTCGGAATAATATGCTTAGGGTTTTCTCGTTGATGGATATTCTTTGTTATGGAGATATTCATTTGAGTGTAATCGATACTGATTTCTTTCGACGGTTGATTGATATCACGTTCAGGTTGAAGAGACGGCTTGAATTTAGGAGCAATGGGCGGCTTTGATGAGCGGTTATACTCGTGGAAATGATTCAATGATGTAGGCGGTGATGGATGTTTTGTCGGGACTTGATTTGGTGGAGAAGGTCTATGAACGATTTCTCGAATGATGATCGGGGTTGTTCGTAGAGGAGGTGGTGATAGCTGAATAGGCCGAGTGTCGATATGGTGTTCACTATATGGATCTCTCATTCTTTCTCGAATAATAATCGGTGACAATGCCGTTTTCTTGATAGATTTCGTTGCCAATGAACGTTGTTCAGGTTCACGAGTACAATTTATAGTTGTTTGTTTGCTTGTTGCTGTTATATGATAGTTATTCGTGATGTTTATCGTCGATTTTTTCGGTTGATCAACAGCTTCGGAAGTGTATTCCCATTGAAATTTAGAGCCATCTGTAACTGTCGTACTCTCATCACTCTGAATATCATTATCATCTTCGTCAATTTTTTCTTGGACTACAACGGGCGTTGGTTTGCATTCGTTAGAAGGCTGTTTAAACATCGAAGGTTGTCTGTTCATCTGGTAGACGTCTTCACAACTTCGATAGCGAATCATATTGTTATTGTTGAGATTAGTGTTCGGAAGTGTTGGAATACGATTCGCTGACGGTTCACTTCGTTGTTTTACAGTTGGTGGAGATTCGACTGGAACTTTAACATCTTCAGGCGAATACATCATATCGTCAAGATGAAAACTATTTGCGTAAGCAAACAAGGAATCATATAATTGATCCACGGGTACGAATTCATTATGTGACATTGCATGGATTTCTATGACTGAATCATATTGGTTTGTTACTCTATTAAACTTGGGCCTCTTCTCATAATTTACAGATGATGGCTTTTCAGGACTAATTACAGACACGTCTGTGAGCGAATCGCTGTCATCATTAGTCGTAGCAATTGACGGTGCGATGTGTACGGTACTTGTGTTGACTTGATTAACATTGGTTAAATTATTAACTGATGATAAAACGTTTTTCGCTGGTAGATGGAAAGGTTTAATATTGAAGTTTGTCTCATCGGTCAATGCGTTAATCGATGGTAATGATCTCGACCATCTATTCATATTTCAAACATACTTCGCGTATAGTTTCAATGTATACTTACAATCAATTGCATACCGATAGCATTTTCCGTTAGAAAATGTCAATCATGCATGACGCACTCGAACATTTGCATACGTACATATGAACGACCTTTAGAGAAAGTAACTATTAATAGGCTGAGACAAGGATTTTTCTTCTTCATTTTATTGAATAAATATCTGTATAATTAGAAGGAAGAAAACGAAACCTTTTTTTCTTATTTCGAACTTTGATCAGCAGAACTATATACTCATCAATGAATGAAATCAATTAAATAAGGCCGTCGAAAACGAAAGTACAATTTTAATTCATCTAAATTAATTTCATAACTCTTCCGCAATCGTACAGCGCACTATGTTTTGATTTTCAAAGAGAGAGAGAGAATCAATTTTATTTGTTTTTTTTTCGAAGAAAAAGAACTGCCAGTGTGTATAGAATAAAACAAGCACACTTTCCAGTTAGGTGATTAGTTTTTGTTTTAAAAAAGTTCTTGTGTTTTTTTCTCGCTACATTCACCGCTCTCAATTGCCGCCAGTTCGACGATTATTATCCGAGGGAGGACGTTCGTTTTCATCATCGCTGTCATTGGCACGCCAACTAGAATAGAGAATAAAGAATTTCTGGACGAAAAGGAAACGTATGTAAAGTACCTGTTTAAACGTTTCTTTTCTCGTGTGCGCCAGTTGCTGTTAGCATCTGCTCGTCCCCAATTTTCCGACGGTGGTGGTCCACTTCGAACAGTGTCTCGTGCTTCATCAGCCATACGTTGTCTGGGTCGCCAGGCGCCACTCGATGCTCCCGATGATTCTCCGGAACGCTGTTGTGATGGACGTTCATTCTCAGTTCGAGAACTGCTACAAAAGAACGATTGTAGAATCAAAGATTCAAACGCTCATCTTACGGATTAGTTTGTTTCTTTCCAACTGTTCGCCAACTACTTGCTGTTTCTGAATTTCGCTCCGTCCACCGTTCGGATGATGGTGATGATTGTTGCTGAGATGATACGCGTCTGTCATCACGGTCTACTGGTTCAGGTCTTGCTCTTGGTTTCCATGAATCACTTGATGAGGTTTTATTCGCTGGTGGTTCGTCGGTACGTCGATCAGGGTTTCGTACACTACATCGAATCAGTGCATGTGTGCGAAGTGAATTTCAATCGTTTCTTACCGTTGATCATCAGTTCGATTGCGCCAACTACCTTTGGAATCAGTAGCCGAAGGTGGATTATCACCGTGATCACGTGCTGATCGCCATGGTCGACTAAAATAGATTTTACTAGATAAAATCGACTAATTCATTGTCATCCTTAACAAACCTATCAGTCTTATCCTTTTCCACAGGAGCAGTACGTCGAGCTGTATTTGAACCACTCTGTGACGCATTCTTCTCCGCTTCGATGCGACGTTGGATTTCTTCATCACGTTGACGTTGAATTTGTGATTGAGCATTTAATTTCTCATCTCTTGCTCTAGCTAGAGCTCGTGCATCAGCCAAACGTTTTTCTTCTTGACGTCGTAATTTCGCTTCTTTTTCCACCTGTTTCTGTTTTCGCCATTCTTGTTTTCTCTTTTCGGCATGTTCTTTACGTATTTGTTCCAAGCGTTGCTGACGAACAACGCTCAAGCGTTGTTCAAATTCTTTCTTCTTAGCCATGAAATCTTCATGTCGTTGGCCACGAATCGATTGAAGAAAAGCTGACTTATCATCTTCCATTCGTTTGAGACGTTCACGTCGTTCGATGGCATTTTCACGTTCACTTTGTTGGATTTCACGTCGACGTTGGGATTCAGTTTCACTTAGTTGTGAAATAAGAGGAACGTCAGCTTCGTGTAACGCACGAACGAAATAGTCAACTTTCTTATATTGAACTTTCAATTTTTCTTTCTGTTCACGACTATGTTTGATAACAGCATCGATATGTAACGAATTCAATGATTCCGGATCGTATTTATACAATTCTTCATCACCGATAAGTTCGATAATTCGACGGCCTATTTCGGATTCACGTAATTTATCAATTGCGATCTTCATATTCAACCTGTGCTCTTCTTTTTCACGTTCCAACGCTGCTTCAGCCTTTCGACGTGCTTGCTCGGCTTTACGACGATTTTCATCTTCCTTGACACGTTCATCTTCTTGATGACGAGAAACGATTTCCCGTTCGCGAAGCTAGAATAGAAATTGAACGAGTTCGATGGTAATGCCAACTACAAGCTATTACTTTATTTCTTGATTCCGTCTCTTTTTCTTCTTTGTAACGTTCAATAAGTTCTCGTCGTCTCAAGATTTCCTTTCTTTGATTGACTTCATCTCGATAGTAAGTTCGAGCAATGTCTTGTTTCAATTTATCATTACGTTCTTTATTTCCCTTCTCATTAATGATTTCCATAGATGCATATACTGATCGCGAAATCGCCATTAATTGATTACGTATTTGTTCATTTGGCATCTTTTGAAGAACGCTGCTCTTCGATGCCATTTGATTATCCGAAGGTTGGCCAGCTGATAAATTCAAATCCGTACCGAACGTTAACGCTTTCGCTTTGTGCTCGATGCGAACTTGGACATCGTTGTTTTTAGCAGCATTGACAATGATTTTTTCCAATCGGTGTTTATCGATTGCAGGTGCAAGATCAATAAAACGTTTCAATTCGATGGTTCGATAAACTTGAGAAATTTGTTGAAGCAGACGAACAACAGTGACGTCACGTAATGCAGGCATGTATTGAGAATATTCCGGTTGAGCAAGTTTTTCAATGAAATCAATGCTTTCTTCCATTTTCTTCGATAATTTCAATGGATTGAATTCGACTTCTAACCATTCATACATGTTTTTCAATTCCGGATAGACGAAGTTCAAAACACCTTGTTTAATCATGTCACGAATAAGACTAGCACGAGTTGGAATTTGTTGTAAAGACAATAGACTTGTAAGACGTTTTTGTTTTTCATTTGTTGTTTCTTCTGTTTCTAAGTGCTCATCGATTTGTGTTCGTGGTGTTGGTAATGGAATCGAAAGAATGGAGAGTACTAGAAGAACAAGCGAAGAGATCAAATATGTCTTCGTAGTCAATCGAACTTACATGCTTTTGTTGATAAACGACTTAATTCAGCATGGGTGATATTTTTCTTTTGTTCTCGATGTAAAACATAGAGTTTAAGAACAGTAGTGGCATGAAAAACATAATTTCCAGCTTTCCAGAAAACGAGAGCCACTTTACTGTAATATGAAGCAAGTTGTTGAGGTCGCGGTGTCTTCTTGGAAATAGTTGTAAAAGCATGAATATCTTCTACAGCTTTGAAGGCTTCCTAGAAGATGTAAAACAAATCGATATGTGAATTGATTGTCGAGATGTCTTTACCTGCCACAGTTCCATCGCAATAGCCGTATCGAGTTGAACTAAACGTGTTTCCAAATGTAATGCTTGTGTTTCAGGCAATTGGAAGTTCACACTATACATTTGTTGCGAATATTTTTGTGATTGTTGAAAATGTGTTCGAATCGTGTCGCACAGTTTTCGGAATTCAGGTCGACGGTTGTATTGTTGACAAAAACGAAAACCCATTTGAGCAACTTCTTGATAGATCTTTTCGACACGATTATTGTTTTTCAACAAATCTAAGCATTGTTTGTAGGATTCCCATACGAATTTCAACCATGGTGCGAGCATGTCACGATCGGTACGATCTTGTTGCGATTCGCCACTAACGGCACTCAGTAAGAGACTTTCTGGTGTTTGGATGACTTCCAAATCATCAATATCAACAAGAGCGTTCGTAGCTGCTTGTCGTGCTTCGGAACAGCGTTGTTCACCTAGTTTAAGGAATTTCATGATGACATCTTCGAGCGATTTAACTGATACCTACAAAGACCAAAGATAACAATTTGAAAAGAACAATTGGAGATCTTACTGTTTGTGAAATTGTCTTATATTGATGAAGACCATCTTTGGCAAGTTGACTTTTCTTCAATTCCACGCATAATTCCAAGAACTTTTCCATTAACGGTTCGTGCGTTTTCGTCCATGTTCGATGGCGACGAGATGTAATCACCTCGAAAAGTGTTTCCAAAGCGCGTTGTTTTTTACCGACATCAATCAATTCTAAATGATTCCATCGGAAATTTCACATTATATTCAGCTATGTTGAACAAACTGATTTACCTTCGGCACGGCGAAGAGCACTTTCAGGTTTCATGAAGACCATTTTTAATTATCTACAATAGCAGAAGAGAAAACTTGAAATAAGTCAATATTGATTCGAACGGATAAAAGGCATATTTTTGATTCCGATATATATATAGATTAGTGTTAGCGCCGGCGAGGAAAAAAGGACCATGTTTGATGACGAAGTTCTTGTTTTTTTCTATTGGTTGTTTTGTTACGAAATTTTTATTTTTCGAACAAAGTTACCGTAATTCGAGATTATTCATGTTTAAACCTTTTCCATCATAGAGATTACGTAATTGAGATGATTATCGAAAAGTAAACGCATAATCGAATTTTCATGAAATTGTAAACTAGTGACATCTAGTTGGATTTAAAAAAAAACGGTGGTATTCTGTGACATTAACGTGAAAAATACTTCTTCTTTTGACTACATGAAAATATACAAACAAGAAAGAAAGACTAAAATCCAAAAAAAGAAACGGAGAGAACTTTATTGTCTTTCTCGAAAGTCAATTCTCATCATCACTTGGTGTTAACAAGGCTGCGATTTGTTTGGAGAGTTGAGAAAATTCTTCTTGATTAACTTCATATTTACGCGGTAGTTCGGGCGAAGGTGAGGCTGATACTTTCACTGAACATGTAACTGAATTGGGCGCAGAGTTCACCGCACGACGACGAGAATTCGGTAGAAGTGTTAATGACGGTAAGGTATCATCGATCGATGATGTTTGTGATTGTGTGGCCATTTGATTAATAATCGTTTTAGCTACTAATGTTGCACGTCTTTGACGTATGCGATCTAGATTAGGAGGAGGAGGATAATCCACAGCTTCATCATCTTCAGGTCCTGAACTGCTATCAGCTATCGACGAAGATGATGTTGAAATTACACTGTGTTTTCTCACAGGCAGGATGGGAAGTGTGGAATCAGCACAGCGACCACATCGTCGAATGATCGTTGTAACTTGAACACTCTTATCCAGGTGACTTTCGGTTTCACCTTCAATGGTTTTTAATCGACCAATAATTCCAGTGGAAAGACGGCGAAATGGTTCAGCAATACCAACTGGACGCAGCGACGATTGTTGTTCGGCAGATTTTGCTCGTGGTATATGAGAACTGCAAGATTGATCGTATTTCTTCATTCGATACGAACTGATATGAGTATCTGTCAATATATCATTTGGATTTAAATCATGATAGCCTAATAAATAACCAACTGTCAAAAATAAACTTTTGCGACAAACGCATCTTACCTAATTGTTCGGTAAAATCCATCAGATTCTTCAACAAGCGATTGCCACACGTTTCCAATAGTCGTTCCATTCGAACTTTAACTGCTTTGACATATAAAAATCCTATGGCTAAACCAATAAACAGATAGACACTTGTAAAAAATAGATGTTTGCCATCATGGATCTTCCGATTGAAACTTATCGTAAATATAATTGTGAAACATAAATAAATGCTCTCGAAAAAGGATTTCGAGGAAATAAACCAAGCTCCGAAGAGAATGTAAACAGTTAATGTGATAATCAATTGCGCAATTGTGAGATTTCTTTCGAAAATATCTTGATCGTTTTGAAATATTTTCTGACATTGATTTTCGATGAAATGAAACAATCCGAATCGACGCATACGAAGGAAATATTTCGTGGAATAGATGTCGAATAAGATCAGTGAAATACATTCGATCAAATCTTGAATCAAGTAACTTAAATCAGTTAAGAACACCAAAGTTAATGGAATGCCAAAGCTTGTGAAGATAATTACGAAGATTTTACCAAGATTCTTCTTCGGAATAAATTCATTCGAACCTGAAGGAGAACATCAATGGTAAGCTTGGGAAAAATAACATGTTCCTACCGATTGTCGTCAGACTTGTTCCAAGAAAAAATAATGAATTGGAAAAATTCAATGTCGAATTATCCTGAACAAGCGCTTGTTTTTTCAGCTCATTTTCGTATTGACGAAGATGTTTATAAACATAACGAGTGTACTGTTGTAAGTCTAATACTTGTCGTTTCTCGATGATCTTTATCAAAAGACGCTCGCGTTCTTTTTGAAGATGCTTGACAGACGAAGAATTCACTGGAAATTCTTCCGATTCGATCTCTTGAAGAATACTAGCACCAATCAACATGTAAATAAGAAAGACTAGACAGATTGATAAATGCGGTATAAACAGCAATGAACAACATCTGAGAAGGGCAATATTGATAGATGAGAATGTGAACAAAAGAAGAACATACTTCATCGATGAAATCCAATCGCGAATGTCGAATTTCTTTGCCATTGTTAGGTCAGAAGATGAGATGGATCAAGAGTGAATGTTACTTATGTACAGAAGATGGACACTTCTGTAAAGAAAAAGAGGATTCGTCAATATCTTCTTTTCAAATACGGAGAAAGCGTTTAAATTAATATAATTGGTCGAGTGGAAAACAAAACAAGACGAAGCTAATCGATTTGTCAACAAATGTTCGACTTTATGCTTCGCTTGAGATCGATTTTAAGATGGGAAACGAGTGTTTTTCTTAGAGCATAACATCATGAACTTACGTTTTGCCATTTGAAACTATGGTTAAGGAGAAAATCAACACAGAACGTGCCTTCATATATGTAATAAGATAAGTTAGAGAAAGGAAAATGATTATCTTTGAGACGAGTGTACATACAAACGTTTGGTCTTGCTATATCTTTCTTCCTGCTATGCTAATTGATTTATTTCTCTCTAGAGACAAACTTGTATTTTCTATCGTTAGATTTCTTCCTATTGTCGAAGTGCTGACAGACAAGCAATATGAATGTGTCAAAGTTCCATTCAAAACTTGTTTTCATTTTATGTTTTGAAGGTGACAGTAGAGAGAGAAAACCTATCGGAGATCTTGTTTTTCTATCTGTATTTATCTAGATATATCAATCTTTGCAAGATGTGATAATCATAACAAAAAATACGACAACAACGGATCAGATTTTGTCAATGAGTCGAAAAGGTTAATAAGAAACCTAATCTACTGATAAAACCAAATGCAACAAACTTTTCTTTTGAAGAAATAGGAAAAACCTGTTCGATTCACCTTGAATGACAAGTCGATGATAGAAGAAGATATACCAGAAAGTGTAAGCACTTCGTATCTGGATAGGAGAAGATGAGTGATACACACATCTGCAGATATATTTATGTTTTTCTCATCAATAATGACAACGGACGAATGAAGATCATTGATGTCAGTAATCCGAATGAATTATATCTTCATATCGTTCTTCGTTTGCACAGCAAGTGAATATGAAGTCTATTTTAGGAAAATGTTGACGTTTGCACGTTTAATTATCGATGATATAAAAGGCAAAGGAAATCTGTTATGACAGACGATTTCTTTAATTATTACCAGAAAATTCGACTACAAACCCAATCCGATGAAAAGCAAGTTCTCATTGCAAATATGTCGTCTTTGATTAATGTTCGGCTAGTTGATAGGAAGTTTTAGACAACTCTTTATCTCTTCTTTTACTTAATTTGTCTCAAAGGACATTTTGTTTATCTTTCTCTATCTATCGATTTCAAGTTGAATTCAATGTAACATGGTCGTAGACGTTTGTACGTGTGTCGTGAATAGATCTTCGCGGACAAATAGTTTTTCATCAGAGAATGTCATTCGATGAAAAAGAAATTGAAAATGTGCAAAATATCAAACAGAAATACAGTATGTCTTTCAAGCGCTACAAAAAGAAAGAACACATGAAAAATCTCATTTTTGTCCAACAATCGATTGGAACATCCAGCATTTGCTTTACACACAAGCGTACCTTTCGCAGTGTCCGTTGATTTTTTTGTCACATTGATTCAACGATAATCTAGTATTTCGTCTGCGGTTCATCAGCGCGACCTATCGAAAGACTACTATGAATATTTTCCTTGTACAAAATGAAAGCAATTGGAACTTATACTTAGGTGTCAAGATTGACGTGCATAGTGAAATGCCTAGTTTATGATCGACAAAAGTAAACAATCTCAAAGTGAATGTCATAGATCACTATTCAAACCACAAATACTTCACCCTTCATCACAGTACAATTCATCATTTGTTCGTCACAAGTCAATATTTCAGTGTCTTAGAAATGCTTCTGATTGATCTTTGTACTTCTATCCTCTTTTTTTTGCGGTTTATATGGCTGCAAAAGAAGATTCTATGTACTTGAAAACAATATTTTATAATTTTGAAACTGTCATGTTTTCTTTTCAACGAAAATAGTTTTGCTATTAACACTTGCCGTAAGATTCATCTACATTCACTCTCATCCTACGAGCTGTCAGGACGTTTCAGACAACTCTAAGCCACTTTTTTTACTTAATTTGTCTTCAAGCACGTCTTGTTTATCTTACACTATCTGTCAATTTCAAATTAAATCCAATGAAGCTTAGGTGTATCGAATGATAAAAAGGGTAGTCGCAGATATTTGTACTCGTGCCATGAATAAATATTGACGATAAAACATTATCTTCGAAATAAATACCTGCGGTCAAATAACCATTCAGACTGCAAACGATGCAAATCGATTACACATTTTTTTTTTCAGTAGAGACGAATGTTTATGCGGCAGATTTTCTAAACACTCGATCGATTCAATTAAGTACATATCCATATAATACAACCCAGTAGAAAGGAATTCATGATTCTGCGTGTACTGTTGGCAAGTGACCTTGATGAAACGACTTATTATGTGCCACATCGAAGCTAATATTTTTTACAGATTAGGCTATTGACATAATGAAAGAGAGAAAAATATTTTTGTTTAGTTTGTTTTGATATTCGCTTTTGACGAACATATGCTTACGAGTGATATAACTCAATCAGTTCAATGATACAGACATATCAACTTCTGTTCGAAAATTTTCTCTCTTCTCAACAGTACGAAATCAATGGCAATCTTTCGAATAGTCTATTTGTTCTGATAAAAGGTCAATAGGTGAATACGATTACATCATATCAATGTGTATGTGAGAAGCAATAGCGAATTCCAATGAACCTAATTATTGTTTACATTTTGATTATCGAGAATATTTTTTTTCATTTACCACATCAATTTTTGAAAGAAAAAAAGGACGTTGTAGAACAGAAAAAGAACAGCAACCTTGTATGTTGTCATTGTCAACTATACTTTCATTCTTCAATAAGTGCGTATGCAATTCGATTGTAAAATCCATAATGACAATATGATTCGTTGGTACTCTCTTCGACAAGTTTGCTTTTTCTTCCTTTCGTATATATAAACGAAAAGTCTCTCCGTTCTCTTTTTCGCTCGTTTTATCGCCAGATGAAAGAACTGTACGTTAAGCACACACACACATGAAATATTAAAAAAAAAAGAGAGTAAAGAACAAGGTTTAGTTTAGCATACGGTAAAAACTTCACCGACTAGTGATATTAGGTGTCCTATAGGTACGTATAGAACGTGTTTGAATAGAAATTCAATTGGAATTACCTTAGAAAAGCACTTGATTTACATCTTTTTTTGATCTTTAACAGCACGATAAAGATAAAAAGTGTAAGAATGGATATAAAACCGTCAGAGGATTTCATAAATCTTTGCCATGTTGTTTGTAGAAATGTTCAATGTTGGAGAAACAGTCAAGAAATAGTTCCATACATGAATATCCTTCCGAAACGAACCGATTGAACAAAGGAAAGAACATCGCCAAAGGCAGAATACCAATTAGTGTTACTATCGGTCTTGTTTTAACATGCATTACAATTGCACTTCAATGTATTGCATTTTTCACACCACATTGGAAAGAAATTTCTCCTAGCGCACATTCACTGTATGTCGATGGCGTCGATGCATTAATTCGTACCGAAGTTTTGCATTATTTCAACACAATTCATCGTTACACACGTCATTCTTATGGTTTATTTCAACGATGTGAATATATTCTCAGTAATTCTTCTGTCTATAACTATCAAACCAATCTCGTGAACATCTTTCGAAATCAGAACGGACAGAAATGTACGAAAAACTACTTGCCATCGTATAATGACGAACATTTCAATGAATGTCATAGTTTACCTTATTATCGATTTTGTACGAAGGCGAGCGAGAAGAAATTCGATGTTAACAATGATTATCTTCGTACCGCATTTGATATCTCATCTTTAAGCAGTAGTTCTGATTCGAAATCTTCTTGTGAATGTCATTATCCACCCTATGTTATTCTCTGCCGTATTCTGACGATTGTAGGATTATTATTTCTTGCTCTTACTATTATTTTATATATTTGCACACTGTTTTGTAACAATCAACACTATCGAATGAAAATACGATGCTTTGGCTTTTTAACAGTGATATCGTCGGTTTTATTTCTCTTGTTAACTCTAATTATTACACGTCAACATATGGAATACGAATCAATGGATTATCTGATTGCGATCCAGAAACATTATCGTTCCAATCAGATTTACAAATTATCTCAAGATATGAAAATTGCCATCGATCGATTTTTAGAAAGTGTTGAAATTCGAACGGGATATTCAGCGATCGTGGCTTGGGTCGCGCTCGTTCTATCGATTGTCGATGGAATTCTATTAGTAACGACATGTCGAACATCAAATGAAGCAAGCGATGATGAAAGCGAAACACATATGAACTTAATGTCATCGTCAGCCAATGAAGATCATCAATTTACAGCTATTCCCGATGATATTCAATCTCCGTCGACATTCGTCAATCATCATCATCATGAAATGCCTCACAAGTTACCAACGTTACATGAAGATGAAGTATGACAATTTAGTGAAAATGATAACCTTTGTTCTTCTATTGTAAAATAAATTTACATAGAGAATCGTGTTTTTCAAGTTGTAAAATGAGACAAATGTGAGTGTTATAAACAAAGAAAAACAGGAAAAAAATCAAGTGTTCGACTGTTCGCGTGATGTTTTGTGTATTATTGTATTCTTTTTTTCGAATATTTTTATTTTATATATGCTTTCAATCAAATCGATAGCGTTTATCAAAACGATATCGTTTATTAAATCCATCTGTATTCACTTGTCTTTGATCGAATCGGTAACGTTTATCGAAACGATATCGCTTGTCGATCGGAAGGAAACGGTCGTCATCATCACTTTCCAACGATGTTGAACTATCTTTTTTATCGAAACGATAACGTTTTGCCAAAATCAGACCATCCGAAGGACGTTCACTACAAACATATAACAATTGACTGCCAATCTAGAGAGGTACGATTGAAACTTAGAAGAAAATCGTATAAAATCTACGTACGATAATAAGGACAAACAGGAAGCAAAGTTTATTGTTTAGGAGTTCCATTCGTGATTAGATGACGTCGGAGATTTCTGCGAATATTAAGTGTAGCTGTGCGCGACTATATATATATATATGATTGTCAGATGTTCATCGAGTGAAGGAAGGGAAAAGCGAACGACATGATTTTCTCTTTAGATAGTTAGTTCGGTCGGTCGGTTGAGATGTGCAGAAAGAGAATAAATAGCTCATATTTTTCTCATTGTTCGGGTTATTTTTATATGAAAATGAGCGATTGATCAGTTATTTCGAATATCTTTGACAAGTGGTACATGAAATTTGTTTCATGTGGGTTATTTTTTCTCAATTGCGTGCTAAATATATCCTACTTAAAATTCTATTCAAAGGATAATAAATGAACTTTGCATATGACATTTTCTAATCATGTAGATACATCCAAGAATAACATAGGGTTAAGCAGTTGCGGCGAAAAACAATGAGTCTAATCGTATTTGTCGTTCGTTTAGTTCCGAACAATTACGTTCTTTCCTTCTTGATTTTTTTATTGATAAATAAATACAACAGTCAGATATTTAATTAAACATTTTTTAGAAAAAGTGCCGCTCCACATTGTAGCCACTTGTCTTTTTCAGTACCGCACGGAACATTCAATCGTGTCACCATTTTCTCTCGATCCGCATTAAAATAAACGGGTAGAGAAATCGAATCTCTCGTTTCTTGTTTCGCCACGTCCTAAACGCAAAATAAAACGTTAATCATCCAATTCGATGGAAATTCAACTAGACTTACTCGAGGTATCCATGCAATGTAACACGATGGAAATGCAGACACACTCGGCGAATCCGGTGCGCTTTCACTTAACCGTCCGCTATCGAATGAACAACCTTCCAATTGTAAGCCAGTAATCTTAATCGAGACATTTTTGCCGTGTTTCACTTCTCCCGACCATGAAGTATTCAGAACTAAGGTATCCATTGGTTGCTTCGTCATTCTTGCTGTTTGTTGTCGTAGCGCATTGAGAAACGTATCGGGACGAAAGAGATCCGAGAGATTAAGTGTTTGAGTAAAGATGTCTTGATCTTTGAGTGAACTTGCAATGTGCTGCATGGCTTTTGCTTTGGAGACAACAGCACGAAGATATTGTAGAGCATCAGTCGGACCTTCCCAACGGTCTTGCCATGTTTGAGGAGTCTAAAAATGAACACGCTGATTTGCCGAGAAGAGAAGAGAAGAGAAGCAAAACAAACCTCGTTCGTAAGAAGATCTTGGGCGTATTCTTGAATTTCATTGGTAATTAAACTAATTCCACGAATGACTTTCGACAGTGCGGCGAGATTTTCATGAATAGTTTGAACAAGTTGAATACCATTGTAACGTTCCAATTGAAGAAATGATTGAATAGGTGATAGAGAACCATCTTCGTTGGGTGGATGAACTTTTAATTTGATAAAATCAATGTCCTAAGAAAGGAAAGTGAAAACGTGGTTTGTTATTTGACGATTTTACTTGATTTAATTTTTTCCAAAGATTGAGAATTGGTGCTAACAAAGCACTCCATTTTTCTTTGTCGAACTTCTGCACTTCAAGATCGGTACGTTGCAGAACTTTCAGCGAATTGATGATCTAAAACGATGTTCGATCGAACGAGCGAATCTCAATCAATCAGAAGACTTTTTACTTGTGCACTATTCATTCTTTGTGCCGATCGTTCGATATTTTCTGGTAAACCAAATAAACTTGGTGTATCATTATCACTTAATTCATCACAGATCTTCTTATAATCCTAAGTGTAAAGCAATCATTTAATACATTCCGTTGGCAAAGACAAAACTTTCAACATACATGCAACTCAGTCGAATTAGGCAAGTTTATATTCGCGGCCAGTCGACTCTTTAATCCTTTTGTACCACCGACAATAGCAGAGTTAAAATACTGAGTCAAATACGATTTCAGTACATCTGTATCGACTGGATTATCGACTCGACCACCATAGACAGCTTGATCGAATAAACCATGAATATATTCCCATTGAATTTCACCACCAGCTACGAATAATCGACTTTTAATCTATATTTGATCAAAACAGAATACTCACATTGTCTTGCAGCTCGTTCGCAGAGTCGGTGGATAATTTCATAACCAGCACGTAGATCTGCTTGAGAAAACTCGTAGAATTTTGTCCAACCCTAAATGAAATATTCACTTTGATTCTTTCTATCCATGTGTAATCATGAGCATAGTACTTGAGGAATGTATTTTCGTCGTTCTTGTATGATGGCATGAAACCATGCTAAGATGAAAAGCGTTTGTGAACGTGCAACACTTCCTTTTTCAAACTCTTCGGGTGTCCATATTTCGAATGTACGGAGAAGATTTTTCTTAATACCAGGCGGTGCTTCATACGTTATTTTAATACTGGATTGTAATAAGATAGTCGGAAACTTCGAATGAACTTCTGATGTTAACCATAAACGAAAATTTTTGTGAGGTTTTAGCGCATTTAATTCCTAATCGAAATCCGCCGAATTAAAAATCGAATAGAAAAAGAAAACTCCTACTTTTTCTAACACAGTTAACCAAGGCGTCACTAGATGAAGATTTTTCAAACATAACCATGAACCCTCACTCGAACATTTCTTTAACAATTCGAGAGCAATTTCCATTTGACCTTGACCCATGGCAATCTAATAAAAAGAAACTCGTAATTTCAATCAGTTAATAATACAATTAAGCGAAAACATCAGATATAATCTTATTCCCTCCATTTCTTCGTTTGTACGTACTTCGAAATAGCGATCTTTGCCGATGATTTCCGTCGCTAAGTCGCGAAGTTCTGCCGACGGATCAGCACCGGGTGAAATAATAATCAAAATTGGTTCTGTTGAAATGGTTTCCTTTGTGTAAAGCTTTCGAAGATTCAACGTTTCCGGTGAAATATCCTTGATTCCCAGTATTCTACAAGCAAATTGCTTCATTGCACTTTCCAACCTGTCCGGTCGAAATGCCTGTATGACTAAGATCTGTTGAAACTGAGTCAGATGTCTATCTTCAGGAAAATGTAGTTCACAATCGTTAGTAGAATTCCATCTCGACCAGGAATCGTCGTCAAAACGAAGATTTGAGAATAATTGTGGGAAATTAGTCTAAGAAGAAGAAGTGAAGTTAAAAGAAATTGAACCGAAAATGAAAAGATGTTGCATACTCGAAATGAAGCGACATCAAACGTGCGTTCTTCATTAACCCATGACGGTAAAGCTCGAGTTTCCTTCACATCAGTAATTGATAAACCAATAAAATGTTCCCATTCCTAAATTTAGTTTCATTAGATAATCAGTAATTAACGAATCGATCTATCCTCAAGGTCTTTGTACGCAATCACTTCTTTCCTCGAACTATCTAACGAAGTGAATTGGTATAAAACAAGTGATAATTACATTATCCGGAACTTTCTTGGGATCCATTCCATGTACTAAGTGCATGGCAAACATTAAACGATCGGCTTTGAAAAGCGATCGAGTTATGTAAGTGTAAGCGGCACGTAATTGATTTTTAGTTAAAGACGATGTTCGATCTTGTGATGAACCTCTCTAAATATAGAAAGAGACGATGTTCTTCATCGAGTGTCGTTGATATAACTTACATTAGCCTAAATGAGAAGAAAAACAAATGAGAAGATATTTAAACATGAAGGGGCTTACATCAGTTCGTTCAAGATTTCGTTGAAATAAACGTAGGAATGCCGCTAAACTGAATTGATACATGTTATTGACCTTCGACAGATCGGAGATGACAAAAAATAATTTGCTGCCATCATTAGCGAGTGATAGATAATCGTTTCGTTCCTAGACAAGTTTGTGTAGTCTATTCAGAAAACATATTTGTATGTCTTTTCATACTTTGTCAAGATCTCGACCGAGTCTCACTGACTCTTCCAGTGAATTGGTTATTGTTGCCGCTTTTTCTTTGGTTTTATTCAGTGATTGTAGTAATTCTTTGTTTTCTAAGATATTACCAGTTGCATTCGCAAGATCCTATAGAAAACGAATGGATCTTGTTCAATTTGAGAAAATGAGAGGCATACCTCAAGCAATTGATCTTCCAGTTTAGCTAATTCAATCTTCAGTTCCTCTTCTTTTCGCAGAAGTTCAGTTTTACGAACTTCCAATTCAGGTTTTTCATGTTGAATAGCAGTTGCCAATAACTAAAACACAATGTCCAAATATTCAGAATACATTTCATATGATTTACCTGTCCAGTAAGACCAGCACGTGTGGTTGTGAAATTAACTTCATTAATAATAGCTGCCATATCGGGCAATAAGTCCGGTGTTGGATTTCGAGTGGTTAAATAAATGCGAAAATCTGAGTTGAAGTCAATTGTTTTCTCTCCGATCTGAACGACATGTCGTGGTCCTTGTGCGGCAAGATCTCTTCTTAAAACAGGATAAAGTACCGGCTCGACACCATCGACTTCTTGAACGATCAATGTTTTGCCAAATCGGACAGCCAATTCCAACTGTGTTGTAAAGTTTTGATCTTGCTGATTGATCACTTCGACTTTTTTCTCTTTCAAATGTGTTTTCAACCACTCTGTCGCACGTGAAGATGGATCAATCAGAAATGGACATAATTGCGAACGAAGAATGACCATCGCATTCTGCATTGATAACTCATCCGAAGGCAAACCTTGACTTTTCCATACTAATTGTTCACTTTCAGTCGAGAGAAACTTTCTAACATCGAATTGATCATCGACCTGTAAGATTTCTCTCCATTTAGTTATGTATTCCACACGTTTATCTTCGGATTGACTAGCGAGGTAAGTGATAAATGCAGCCGATAAGATCGATAGTTTAGGAAGAATTCGTAGTTGATCTTCAAGATCGTTGACTTGTGTTGACCAACTACACGAAAATAGAAGAGCATGGATCGTATGAGATGTGAGAAAAAAAGACATACCGTGAATATTCGCCTTCGAGTTTACCAACGAGATTTTGTGCTGCGTCAATGATTTCATTGGCTTTCTCTAAGTCAACTTTTAATCGTTGTGCTTCGTTTGTTGTTTTTTCAAAGGTTTGTCGAAACTTTTCAACCTTATCGTCAACTACTTTCAAATCTTGACTTAGTTCTTCCATTTTTCTCGTTGAACTTTCCAAATTTCTGCAAACGAACAAAACAAATGTTCTATACAACTCACAAGTTCACTGTTACTTTTTGATTTTATTCTGTTTTTCTTCTAACGGACGAATTTTTTCCAACACACGTGAATATTTGACATTGGCTATGACCCATGTAGCAAGTGGACCAACTGCTTGAGACGCTTTTGCAGCATTTTCTTGATTAAACGAATCAGCTTTCTTGCGTAATAACTGTTCGACAGTTTCACGATTATCTGACGAGACGTTACGTGGATCGAAACTCATGATATCTTCTTTGACACCACGTTTGCCTAAGAAACTATTTCGAAAAAGTACGAAGTAATTATTCCACAAAGAAAGCATGTTAATATTTACGCTTTCATGGATGTCCATGATGTATCGGAGAAGCCCATTAGTTTGAGAACGCCTTCGAGAACATCTTTAATCACATCAGGTGGCGCACGTAGTGAGCGGATTTCAACCAACGTGTCAGCTTTCAAATTACCGACTGCTTGTTTGGCTTGATCAACCAACGGCTGCGTTTCAGCTAATTCATCGTCAATTTGACGTTTCTGTCGTTCGATCGATGCTGTTTCCTCGTTAACTTTAACTTTAAGTTGTTCCAGTTCCATCTTTTGTGTTCCGGCATCCTAAAACAACGAAATCGATCAATAACTATTTTGTTTATCCACAGATAAAAATATTCTATTAGCGACAAGTCTGATTTATGTCAATCATCAACATTTTCATAACACTCAATAGTTAAAAAATATAAATGTATAATATAATATCTTATAATCTTCTTAGGACAACACTGTAGGAATGCATTAGAAGTACTATCACCATCAGTTTAGTTAGGTGGTGTCACCTAATTTCAACGTGTCTGCTGATTTTTACGGTTACTTCTATGCGATCCCTTAGCAATCTTATTATGGGCTTCGCCAGATGCGTCATAACTTCTGTCTTCACCCTTACTACTATTCGTGTTGCCTAGTTTTGCTCGTTTTATGCATTTCTTGCATGTTAAACATCTCCACCAACCACTATTGTGGATAGGTTTAGTTTCGGTATCACATACAACACACCTGAGCATCTTGCATTTAGTCATAATGCTTTACAGAGAAGATTACTAGAGTTTTTACGTATAATGTGAGCTACAAACGGAAAATATGTCTATAACGGGATTCGAACCACGTATCTCGTGCTACGCAAGCAATTGTACTACCGCTCGAGTAATTGTTTTTTTCAAGCAGGCGTGTAAAAGCTGATATGTTTTTCTAGTGTGAGCTCAGTTACAAATCAATATACTCATACCACGTAAAAACATATTCTTTTATTAGTTTCCACGCAGAAATATACTGGAAAAGGTTTTGGCACCGTGTGCATTTCCTTACCGCTATGCTTTTGGTAATCTGTTTGAGCGCTTCATCGGCTTCATGTTGTTTAACAGCTAAAGCTTTTTGTTTGACTTCAGCGTTACGTTTTAAATCATCGACAACTTTTCTTGCATCGTTCAATTTCGACACACCCGACTTGAGATGTTTCTGTCTTTTGATAATCGCATGTTGTTTTGTCAGATAAACTTCACGATAAGTTTCAAGTAAAACTAAATAACGGCGTGGTGTTAAAAATTTGTTCTCCATTGATTGGTGTATTGAATAGAATAAATTCGACAGAACATCATCGATGTTTATTTTTTCATTTGGTACTCCTTTAGACTCTTCCTCGGATCGGTCCTTTGAGAACAACATTGCTGGAATCTGAAAAGATAATAAGAAATGCACTCACGTCAGAGCTGTGAAATATTTTCGAGATATTACCTTAACCATTGATCTTTCGGACCAACCTTCCATCCATTGAACAGCACATTCTTTAAAAAAGCCAGGATTACTTTGACATGCAACCGTAAATGTAGGTCGAGTAAAATCCATGCTTAGCACAATATGTAAATTGGTTTTCACTCCTAGAATATAAACAATACGATTTAATTGAATGAGAACGTTTCGATTTTACTTTGTGCAAAATATTGAACCATTGTTCCACGAAAGTTCTCTTGCGAAGATTCTTCACGTAGTGGAGACAAGATTGCTTCTAATTCGTCGGGCGAATAGAGTCCTGGAACTTCTCCAGCCGATAGAAGACTGTTGATGATTTCCACAAAGGTTGCCTCGATAAATTGATAATCCTCCATTAACAAAACACATTGTTCGCCTTCAACACCTGCACTCTGTAGGATCTATTTTCCACGAATAAAATCAACCAATTTATTTAGAAAACACTACTTCTTCTACTCACTGTTTTCAAGTCATTTTTGAATTGTTTGATTCCATAAGCTCGACTGACTTTCGGAGAAAATAGTTTCATGTTATTCATCGAAGCTACAATACCAACTGCTGTGCGACGACCAACACCACTTCGACCAGCAAGTAATAACGAGCCACCGGGCGTCGTTAAGACACGATCACATCGAACAATAGCATCGAGTATTTCCCGAAAAATGAACACGTCTGTATCACGATAATCAGCTCGATATCGAGTAATACCACGTTCGATAAATGGTCGCAAATCTTTTCCTGTTAGACGCGATAATATCCGACCAGCCGGTGGAAGTGCTCGACGGTTGCCAGTAGTCACCCATGATACAAAGAATGTATCTAAATTGAGTATATCGTGAGCGTTCGTTTGAAACAGTTCGAAACTCACCTCGCAAAGCATTTGCAGCACTTGATGACCAATCAGCTCGTAAGCTTTTATCCATCAATTGATCAAATTTATCCTGCGCTTCGTTTCCTACGAGTCGATCTTTGAATAGCCGGCATGCTTCATACGTCCAGATTTCCAACAAACTCTCTGTACTTCCATCATTTCGAATAGATGAAAAATCATAGCGTAATAAACTCAGACACCAGCGCGTCAAATCTCTCGGTGTAAACAAATAATGACTATGCTCATCTTGACTAAATTTTGATCGTAACTAAACATAGTAGAGAAGATATGATTTCGAGCAACAAAGATCGTTGTTTTGCCATACTTCATTATAGACATGAATCATGGATAGAGCAAGTTGATGGACTTTTCCGTGTGCCGACCAAACTTTATGGTTTGGTAGTTGTTGTTGAAGTATAGCTTGCAGATAATTGGCGTAGATTATCTGTAATTGCTCTTCATTGGGATAGTTAATAGAACAGATTCGAACAATCGATGTGAAACGCGTCGATAGTTTGTGTCTACCAAGTGTATTCGATGGATTCATACTTCCGACGATTTGAATGTTTTCCAGATTAACAAATTCAAGATTTTCATCGTAGAAACCATTGTAAGTCAAAATCTAGAAATACAATTTAATATGAGACTAGTTTCAATGAAGAAAACAGACTTGTTGCAAGAATTCAATTAGTTGACTTGTGCCCCATTTGTCAAGTTTAGGTAAGTTGATGTCTTTGACATATAAAATGAGATTTTCACAATCTTTTGGTCGATATGTTCGACCATTGGTAGATGAAACTTGAATGCATGATTGATTTAGTTTCTGAATTACATGGATAGGTGAAGTCTGCGCACTACAATGTAATATAGCGACTTGTGTTGAACGCAACTGACGAAAACAGTAGCGTAACAGTGTTCTAAACAAAACATTTCAAGTTGAATGTGTTGTATTCGATGGATTTTCGCGGTTTACCCTTTGCCACAACCATCAGGTCCAACGACTAGAAATGGTTTCCGATGTTTAGTATCAAGCCAAGGTAGAAACGAATCAAGGTAACGTTGAATATCTACCGTTCGAACTACCGGCAAATCGTACATATTATTGAAACTATCGGCAGTCAGGTCAGACTTTTCCTAGAGATGAAAATGTAAGAGAAAAGATCTTTGCCTAGGGAAAAATTTACATCATTCATGTAAGTAATCAGTATTTTCATCTTTTCATCATATTTTGTTGCTAATAAATTACTGGCATCAGGTGGATGTTCACCCGTGATTCGAAAAACCTAAACACAATCACCATGAATTACTTCTCCACGAAAATTGTTCGACATACTTCACGTGCAAACGCTTCTTTGGTTTTTTCAGTTAGATTCCCACCCAAACCACGAATTAATCCCAAAGTAAACATCGCCTTATCATTCACACCATGTAAATGTGATAAACCATTGAGAACAGTACCAATTAGTGTTGTTTCAACGATAAAATCATTCTGTTCGGTAATCCATTTGAATGCTTCAAAGAAATAATCATTGATATATTGTTCTGTTGTCGAACGTGTCTCTTCGGGCTCTTTAGCCAACCATGATTGAACAACTGCTTTAACATCAGTATCTTCGTCGCTATAAAACAAGAAGTAAACAAGAGATTAGTTGAAAGTGAAGATCTGATTGGAAAATACCTGAGAAAGATCATTCCCATTCGAGAGATTGTTGCCGGTGAAGCACAACTTAAATCATGCGTTTCGAACAGAAAATTCACGTTCGGTCCGAATTGTATACGTTCACCGGATGGCATTGTCAATAGACGATTATCATCCAGAACTGAATTTAATGATTCAACCCATTCAGGATCGACATCACCATCACATACAATCCACGATTGAATTTCTTAGAAAACAGAAATTTGTAAGGACTTTGCCTAACAATACAGTATTCTCTCTTACCAAGTGGCTCTTTGACAACCGCACGTGATGCTGCTGTTAGTACACCATCCGACCATTCACGTGTATCAATATCAATATGACCAAGTAATTGCATTCGCGGCATTGATTTTGGATTCATCACGTACGTTCGAACTTGTTGGCCCGTCTTCTGCATTGCATGTTGAAGCATTTTCCATAAGACTGACTTGCCCGATCCAGATGGCCCGACAATGACCACACCCATACGTTGCCGAAGTTGTTCATATAGTTCAAGAGCTTTGCGAATCTGATTAACATCAATTTCTGTATAATGTCATCAAATATCAACAGATGTTTCTTACTTGCATGTCGTTGATAAGCAAATGATGTTCTTTGTATATTTCGTGCAATGCTTGTCGGAGATTTTCATATTCGATATCTTTTAGATCGATACCAGGAAAGATGTCCTGGAGAAGACCATCGAAACGTTTCGAATCGCCAAAGGTTAACTTCGACAGTGTATTGATCCGTGCAGCTTGAACAACTAGCTGAGATTCGAAGTTTGCATCGATTGCAACTAAATTAAATCGACGAGGATCAACTCTAAATTATTCTAATCATCTTAGTAGTACCTTTATTTGTTTTTGCATTTCGTAATAATGTTCCGCAACCTTTCAATACAGTTTTCAATGCTCGTAAACCCCAATCGTAGTGCTGTTGTGTTGTTAAAAGTTCTTTGCTTAGGTTAAACAATGCAACTAGTTTTCTTCCTAAAATATCGGCATTTTTGAATCCATCGGAATATAGGAGAACTTCAGCGATGAGTTCATTATTTGGTTTGGACATTGCCACAGGTCGGAACAGTTGTTTTAAATTGTCCGGTAGTTTCGATCGACCACCGTAACCTTTTCCTGCTGGATTTAAAGTGACGAAAATACCTGAGTTGGGATTGATTTCGATTTTTCGATCTAGTAATGTCAACGTCGGTGCACCACTTTTCAGAGCGTCTTGAATAACTTGAATTTGCATAGATACTGCTGATAAGACAGCCTCATCCAAACGATTAAATTCATCGAAACATCCCCAAGCATCTATTGAAAACGAAGTTTTCCATCGATGACTAACATGAAATCTACCTACCAGATTTACAAATACCAATAAAGATTCGACCAATTGATTTGACATCGATACCCTACAACACGAAGATGTTCCATGATATATTCAATCAGTACATTCAACTGAATTTACTTCATCGCAATTGAAGACAAGCACTTGCCGTCCAAATATCGATCCCAAAGCCTTAACAGATTCAGTTTTACCCGTACCAGCAGGTCCGTACTAAACAAAACTCATTCAAATTCATTACAATGCTGTCCACTTTACTTACAGGATTGCCACCAAAACCCATATGCATTCCCTGTGTCAACGTCAAATAACATTTATCCGTCAATGGTGTATGTACAAGTTTCGGTGCATTGCCTTGATACTCATAAGTGTAATTGAATTGTGCGTCAACCATTTTAATCAACGCACTGTTGTGTTCTAAATAAAATCTCAACTGCTTTTGCCATAGCCAATCATAGATATTTCGAACGCGTCCGTCTTTCAATTGTTGAACGACGTCCATATTGTGAACGGTGTCCATGATTAATGCTTTGTATTTCAGATCAGTGACGACGCCTTCAATAGAATTCGTCTGAACATGCACATTTGTGTATTTTTCGAGAACTTGTTGGATTTCACTATGGAATTTGTCTAGTTGACCGTTCTTGATCGCTTCTTCACATCGTTCTGTGAAAATAATCGATTCTGCTAAACACGAAATCTAAATCAAAAGTATTTGTCATCAAAACAATGAAGACAATGAAAATCTCTACTTGTGATGGATATTTTTCCACTGGCACTTGACCCAATTGTTTGTGTGAATCCTGCAGTGCATTGATTAATAGTTGTTGTAAGGTTGAAAACATTTCTTTAGCTAATTGTTTCAGCCACTCTTCAACAGAAGTTGTTATACGAATCTTCTTCGACAAGGGAACGAGTTCACCGTCCAATGAGCGCATGCCGAGAATGTGTTGATTCGAATCGTCGAAACGAACAGAATGAATGCCAGCGAAAAGCTTCTTTAGATGAGATTGAATCACATTTGGATTAGTTGCTTGTCCGAGAATTTCTAGGAGATCATCGTCACCAATAAAGTAGAAACGTGGGAAAATCGAACGTTTTTCCTATGGAAGAATGAAAGTAGACAGAAAAAGATGGACAAGTTCTTACTTCGAGAAGTTCATTCAGAGCTTTTTGACAACGACCTAATTGATCGAGCATGTTTTTCAATAGGTTCGAAAGATCCTTGCGTTGTGCAAGAATCACTAGACGAGGATTGGAGGCAATATCAGACATAATCTCACGAAATTCTTTGTCCACCTCACGAAAACGACCCTGTTCCTTTGGTAAAGCACCTCGGCCAAAAATCGGTTCAAGATATACAAATTTACGTTGAATTTGATTGAGTGTATGCAGACAATCATCGAGAACACCTAATCGTTGTTCCCAGATCTGTGCTTGACTTTCTACAAGAGACATTCAATGAAATCTTCAGTGCAAACAAACTTCTCAGCTTACCAAAGTTTTTATAATACGGCGAATCTTTCAATGACGATAATAAACTCTGATTGTCGCCGATTTGTGTAAATAAATCTTTCCAATCTTTAATAATTTGTATTCGTTGTTGTTTGGTATCCATATAATCAATCAAGGAGAACTGGGCGCCCGCACCCCAATTCTCTAACTCTTTCAGCGCTTCGCGAATTGTATGTTCAGCTTGTGCACGAACATTCAAATCTTTCAGTTGTTCGGCATGTTCTGCAATTTCTTGTCGAGCTCTGAGGATATCGCCGAACGTCAAGCGTTCCAGCATTGTTCCACGTGGAAGTTTCAACATACGGAATACGTCTAGCCAATGATCTGCAGACAAGGCTTCGCCACGAACCCATTTGAACAACGGTGTAATCATACGATAATTGTCAATTTCCTGTTGAATACGGACGTTCATATTACTTGTGGAGGTTTTCTTCGAAGATTTCGATGAATCGGTTGGTGCGAATTGTTTCAATTTTTCCTGCCAATTCGAGAGAAACTCATCGAAACGATAAGTCTTGCTGCGGAATGAAATCCAATCTTCTTTGGTTAACTCATTCAATTCTTGTTGATACTCTTCATAAACTCCCCAAACATTCTTGATTTGAACGATTTCGTTATTAACTTCGTCCAAATCTTGAAATGCGGGCTCGTTCATACCGAACAATCGAAATTCTTCACTTAAAAGAAAAAAACAGAACAATAAAAACCAGTTTTAGATCAACATCAAATTCTTACATAATTTTCTCCTTTTGTTTCATTAACTCTTGGGTTTCCTGTTCTTTTTCTCGCACAACTTTCAACGCATCACGGCATTTTCGTTCATCTTCCATATCTTGCTCTCGCGGTCGAAATTGTTGCCAACGTAACTTTACCTTTTCACACTCGTTTATAAATTTATCATAACGGGCTTGAACGTTTTGTCTCAAAACATCTTTCTGATCATTGATCATCTGTATATGTGAGTCCATCATTGATTCGAATTTTTCCAGTTTGAACTGCAGTTCTGCGACGAGTTCATGACCACTGCCAGCAACCGAACGTAACAGTTTATTTTTCGATTCTAAACGTTGATATAACGGGAGAATCTCTTTACGTTTAACATTTAATTCTTCGTGTTTTTTGTAAGATTCGCTGATTTCATCAAGAGTCTGCGGACGATCTTTTAGGCTTTCAAAGCTCTGATCAACGAATGTATCAACGAGATTAGCATCGCGAATGATCGAACGCTTCAAGTAGTTTAACATCGCGTCATGTAATCGTCGTAGTTGATTTTCAATGGTTAATTTCAGAGGATTGACATTGACAATAAAACAATCGTATCGAACTTCACTAGAAACCATTGAAATAGAAAGAATGTTTAGTTTTCTTGATGAAATAGTAGGTTTACCTGGGTAATTTTTCTGCATCTTGACCGCGGATCTTCAGTGCACGGAAATTTCTTTCCCAATCTTCCACCTCTTGAAGATTTTTCTCAACTAATTCATCGATATCTACTTGTCCTAACACAACCCATTCTTTAAATTGATCTAAACCGCGCTCGAGCTTCGTAAATAACTCATTCGAAGTGTAAAAACACGCAACGAGATCATCGCTATGCAACGACATGATACTCTGAAAGATCAATTGTCTGTTAGCTGATGTAGGATCAGCACATCCTTTGAATGTTAATGGTATGGAAAGAAATCGTTTCATTTCACGGTAGTATAACGCTTTGATGGCTTCAATACTTGTTTGAGCTTTCGGTGAACTTGGTAATTTATATTGAATGGATTTTTCTCTAGAAAACAAAAGGAGTTCGATTGATTATGTTCTTCACATTCGTCTTACCCAAAAATCAAGTCGATTTTAATGTCTGGAAGATTTTCATTTAAAGCCTTCAATCCGCTTGAATACTGAAGATCGAGTGCCTTGTACAATTGTCTATCCCAAAAACTTCGCCATGACTTCATCGACTTGGGATCATAACCATCATTGGCGATTTTATCCATTATCTTACGGATTTCTTGTACTTGCTGGTGCCATTTATGTGGTTCACGCAACAGATCCGTATTGATTAACGAACAAACAATCTGTTGAATTGTTAAGTGATGACGACGGAGTTTCAGATTTTCGTTTTTTAGTTTATCGGCGATCGTTCGAAGTGCTGTGATGTAACGGGACAATTTCTCCGGATTATCCCATGTGATTTGTCCACTGGAGTCGCCATCACCACCTCGACCTCGTTCTGTGCGAAAACGAAAAAGTCGGCTAGCATAGAGAACGGATATGATCTAAAGAAGAACTCACGAGATACTTTGGGATCTTTGATAAGACGTTCGAATTCTTTGGCTAAATCAATCATCATTGGCTGTTGACTTGGAATCATCTCCGTATTAATTGTATTATAGAAATGTGCGATCTAAAACGCATCCGATTGATATTTTATTGATTGAATTTTGTCAATCAACAACTCACTGCTTGAAGTTCAACTCCGTATTGATAGAATTTCTTTCCGACTTCGACACACTTGTTAATTTTCGATGGAATATCATAGCCGAGGGATGATAACTGCCGAGCTTCATTAAGTAATGTAACTAATCGGTTACCATAGAGCACTCGAACCGTTCCGTCATTTGAGTTGAATTTCATCAAACGACCACTGGTCTCCAAACTAAATTTTTTATTCAAAGAAAACGAGAGTTCGAAAGCTAACCATAAGTACAAATCAAACCTCAATTCTTGATTTGGATCCTCAATCGCACGAATGTTATCCTGGCACCATTCACGAAATTTATCCTTTCGCCAATCGATTATGTCCTGTTTGAGCTGTTTTGCTAAGGTGGAAACACGAACATAACCTTGTAGATCACCAAGTAACTTTTCTCCGTCAGTGATGATATTATCTACCTGAAAAACAAAAGAAGATTACCTAGAAACAGATCGTCGTCATTACTTTTGTTTCAATCTGTCGGCTAGCATCAAGCAGAGCAGCAATAGTCGTTCGATTAACGCCTTTTGTTATCGATTTTCTTCCTCCACGATGACCCATTCTACCATTCGTTAGACTATTCAATTCATCTGTTAAAGTTTTTATATCACTTTCCAGTTGTCCGAGGAGTAATTCACGCTCGGAGGCCAATTCTTTGCGTATGGTTTCACGTTGAATCAGATCACTGTAGCGTTTGAAATCGACTAACATTTGTTGAGGATTAGAATGAATACTTCGAAAATATTCACGCAACTGTTTGGCAACATCACGATCTGTATTTGTCATTAACGCTTCAAATTGACTTTTCGCCGAATGCCATTGAGCATCAGTTGTTGCATCAAGTTGAATCGGATCAAAGTTTATGAATGGTGCAAACACTTTCTTCGGCGAAAGGCTTTCTTTGTTGGCTGATGCGCTAAAACGCATACTTTGTTCGTAGGATGATCGTACACCGATAATTTCATTCAAGCGTTTTCTGAATTGAAGTAAATAGGTCGGTTTAACAGGCTCGCCTTTCCATAAATGTGGTTTATAGTTGGGCCAAGAAGTAGCAGTCAACTGCTCAACCGTTTGTGACCAACGTTCGCAGACGGTCACGCCAGTGCGAAGTGTTTCGCGATCTTTCATCGAATCCTTCGAATCAAACCATAAATCAATTGTTGCTAATTGATTTTGAACAGCTCGAACGAGAGCATTGGATGTTATTGTCAGTAGATGTTTCATACGTTGTTCTGGGTATTCATCGTGTTCTACTTGTGCCCACAATTCATTGTACACATCTAAATCAAAACCGATATGTATTATACAAAGCATCAAAATATATATTACCGTAGGTTCTATCGACTACATCGAGAAGCGTGATGAGATCTAATCTGAAAAAAAGAAAGAGATCAATTCAAGCAACTTATTGTCATTTGGACTGATATACTTGTCAAGTTTTTCAAAATCTGCTTTGACTGGACCTAAGATTTGAAGAAAATATTTTGCACGATCGACATCCTGATCTTTAGCTGAACCACCATTGGCAATCTGTGTCCAATAATCAATTTCATCTTTTGGATGAAACACATTGCCTATTGATGAACCTCCACCCTTCTTTCCTGCTGCACGAAGAACTTGTTCCAGTTCGCTCAATGAACTTTGAATCTGTTGAGTTGACGAACTGCCTGTTTTCGCATCACGTAGTGCAGGTGCAAAAACCGATTTGATCATATAGTAAAGTGAATCCAACGGCGAATCAATCATAGTCGATAGAAATATACCTCTATGAATATTCTCAGCGGTGATGATATCTGGTCGAACTTTAAACTGAACAAGAGTTTGTATGCCATCAGCTACTTTAATCTAATTTTTAAAAGAGAGAGAGATATATATCGCTAGAAACAATTGAATGAGAATATCCATACTTCATTGGAAAGGTGAATTGAATGCTTGTGACCGCGTGCTGCTGAAAGTAATGGACAATTGGCATCATCGAGAAAGTTTCCTAAAGCTGGATGATCGTATAGCGATGAGAGAGAGTCGGGGTGACTACCAAAATAATTCGCTATGGTCGTTAGAACATGAGCTTTGCGTATATCTTCCGGCATGTTTAAAACATGAATAGAAAGAAATTAAGTTGTATCGAGCCTCTTACAGCTGATAATTGTCATCGTAGACGAACGTTTCAGACGGTGACTTAGTAACGCCTTATGATTACTTTTCAATGGCAAATCGAGCGACATCTATAATAAAAAAGATAAAACTATAAATACTCAAAGAATGGAATATAGATTACCAATGGAATGATTACCCATATTTGATTCAATAACGAAAATAATCTATGGCCCAATATAATATGACCTAGGTGCTATCTTATGCCCGTGTTAGTATCCGTATACTGTATCAACATTTACTGCATTTGCATCAATCCGTTGAATGATGTTTGCTCGAATTTCGAAACAAACCCGTCGTAATGATCATTCAACGCTACTTCGTCTTGCTGTTACAGGTAACTATACTAACTTGCGTAATTACATGAGTATATATCTGCACATAAGATTTCAGTGTATACGATGAAACACGTTCGTCAAAGGAGTCTTCATTGAAAAATCTTACGCAGCTAGGTAAAGCTCTCATGGACGAACAAGATTGGTATGAAAAAGATTTAGACGAATTTGATGATTTACAAACTTGCAACGATCATTCTATAGTGGAACGATCATCCATTCGATCTAAACAAAAACAATTAGTTATTCGAGAAAACGGTCATGGAGGAAAAATATATCCATTAGACTTCTGGTATCTTATTGGGAATTATATCGCACCGGAAGATGTGGGTAGATTTGCATTGATCTGTCAAGCAACAAATCAAGTTGCTCATAGTGTACCATTTTGGATTAACCTATTTCGAAAGTAAGATCATCTATTCGATACAATCTCGATGCTTACCGTCAATTTTTAGTTACAATCGATCTCAAGCGAAACGAACAAGCCGTTCAATTGTTCGAGAACACGTGTCCATCGTTCGTAGTTATGTTATCAAATCTCTCTATCAAGCATATCCACTATTTCAAAGTCGTCTGAACAAATCCGATGTTATACAAAAAGATCCGCATATTCTCCTTTCAGCACGTTGTATTCGAATTTGGTATTCGAAAATGGAAACACAGCGAGATCTATATAATTATTACTTTGAATTCTGTTTTGACCAAACGCAATCGTCTTCGCAAGTAATACCATCTGTGCAAGCTCTCTCGCCACTATTCCAAATTGATAATCAATTCATGATTGATCAAAATAGTTCTTTACTCCATGTAATCAGTTCGAAACTACTGACCATCGGTCCGTTTATGGGCATGATCCTGTCGAAAATCGTATTGAACGTTAGCACTGATTATCGATATCATCAATTGAAAATGTGGTTTGATACGTCGAAATTATCAGTGCAAAAAACAACACTCAGTCCTCCTATGGTTGTTATCGATCCGGTTATATGCTTAAGAATATACAAATGGTTTGACTGTCCTCCGAAACTGCATTGATTTTCTTGTTGTTTATTGTATCTGTTCAAATCGTTTTTTCTGAAGAAATGACACAATAACAAAAAAAGTGTGGAAAGCTAATGTTGTCTCGCAATTGGATTGAATTCTAATTCTGGTGATGAACCTTGATCGTCGTTTATGGTTACTACTGATGACGAGGTTGAAAACGAGTATTTACGCATCGATTCCAACATGTGTGGAAATGACGATGCAATAACTGGTCCATTCAATTCTGTACAAGTAGAGGTGAATGAACTAAATTCATGAGTTGGTCGTTGAAGATCAAGATACATGGCTTCCTTAGGTTGAGCATTTGGAAATGAGGTATCTGGTTCATGCTCAGAAAATTCTATGAAAATGTAGTCGAAGAAAATGGTTAATGTTTGAGTATGATATGCTTACCATCATCGGATGTGCCGATATTGTCGTCTTCGCTGGAATCTTTTTCTCGAATTTTCATTTGACCTTTTGCTTTGGACTTTTTCGTTTGTTGACCACGCGTTGTTGTTGGCCATCGTCGATTTGAATCTTTTTTCAACCGTTTCTCCTTGGCTCGACGATTTTGAAACCTTAGTTCGTAGAACAAAAACAATCCCACCTTAGTTCATCTCATGAACATCTTTCATCTTACCACACTTGCACCACTCGCATATCCAAACCTGTATCGATTGCTAAAGACTCGCGTAAATGCCGCGGCGGTTTCGGTGTTGTTATATAAACTTGTCTGAGAACATCGAGTTGTTTTTGAGATATAGTTGTACGTGGTCGTTTATTGTTATCATCGAACGCTTTAATAGAATGAATAAATAAATGAACAAAGGGTAACTAACGAGTGCAATCGTACCTTTATTCCGTAAGGTATCGTAATCAAATTTACAAACAAGCTTTTCATCAGCGATTACATAAAATTCGTCACCTGTTTTCAATTGCCGGTGACATATCAAACAACTAAAACATTGTAAGTGGTATACAAAATCATTCGCACGTCGAATGATTTCTGTAGGTAAGACACTGTAGCCACACGATGCACATTTATTTCCAAATTTACTACAAAGTAAAAGCATATCAATAAAAGTTAACATCAAGATCGAGTTAATTTACTTGAAGTAATGCTCTTTACAGTAGATTACTCCATTTCGAGAATAGCATTCGTCGAGTAATTTTATATGACATTCCGAACAGTTTATACATACCCCATGATAATGATTTCCATCGATTCGAAATACAATCTCACCGCAAATAGGTAATGAACATATAAAGCACGTGTGCGCTAGAGCTAACGTCGAATTAGTCAAATCTAGAGAGAAAGAGAAACTATCGAATGTATATCCGCACTTTCTTAACATGTTACAATACCTGTCTGATATACATTCTCGATGGTAAGATTTGTCTCCGCATTGAATGTCATACTTTTCAACAGTCGTCGTCTTTTCTTATTACCAACGTTTATGTTTTCTTTTCTAATTAAGTAAAAGGACGTGTACAAATTCAATTCCTTCTCCTGTAATCAAGCATGTATGAGAAAGTATACTAACCAATACGGAAGTAAGTAATAAAAGAAAAAGCTCATTTCTCTTCTTTTCTTTGTTAATAATTCTGCATATGGGAAAGAAACCGTAACTGAATTTTTTAGAAAATCAATGAATACGACAAAAGCCACAGTTAACTTTGCTAATTACTATTTATTCAACGAGCGATGATCCTGATAAACGAACATAACTTGTCTTTTCTCGAGCTATTCAATTCATTTACTAATTACATTCTTTCGTAGTCATCAAGTGTGCAATACATGCACTGTTAAACGGTTTCTTTTCGTCGATTCATTCATGAAGTCATTTGTTAAGTTTATTCGAGTGAAATATCAATGAAGATAACACATTCGTCTTATTCAACACTCAAAATACAAAAAAAGATGTATTCTCCCTGGAAATATTCTTCGCGAGTCATATTTCGATGACATACACATGCAGAATGAACTTCGAAGTATTACATATCATTGACAAAAGCAGCTTCACCATCTGCAGAACGATGTCCATTATGTTGATTAAAACGAGCATTCTCGAAGTAAAGTGTAAATTGATTCAAGTAGCCAAGAAACATCATTGTCAAGTAGAAATGAAAAAGTATACCGTCGTGTTTCCAACGACGTTCTCTGACCGACATTGACTTCAAATTCATCAACAGATAATCAACAACCATTAGCTGATTGGTAACAGATCTTGTTACTTATGGTAGTTTCTTTATTTATTTGTTGAAAGAGAACTTGTTTTTGTATCAGATATTCGCCGATAAACATTCATTAACTCGAAATATTTATATATCCTAGACGATGTAAACGATATTTTTGAGAAATTTGATCGTTATAGAAAGCTATGAGAGAAAGATTTTCTCTTTTGAAATATTCATATTAGTTCGACATTCTTGATCGAAGCAAAAAATGATTAATCGGATTAGATCGGCATAGAGACGAAAGAATCTCTAATCGAATCAATTCTCTATCAAAACATATATCTGATTTATTCCTGTCTTCACGAAGAAAACAAACAAAACTGAAGCCCTTTGAAGAGAATGAATAGTTCGGTCGAGCGTTATGTGTATCATAAAAGTTTGGATTTTCAACCCGCGAATTGCAACTGGTATGGTTCATTAAGTTGAAACTAATGATACAATATTGCCTTTTGTCATTATTATGATGAAAAAAAAAGCTCTATTAGCTTGCGGCGATTTGCTTACTTGTTTTCCTATTCCAACATACTCGGAAAGAGAACGGAAAACGATCTAATATTTCTGTTGTAAGTCTCTTTAGTGACGTTATTCTATATAGTTTTAATTGAGAAAAACCCTAAGAGAAAAGATAGAAATTCTCTCATTTTCTTTCATTCTCTTTTCTAATGTTGATTTTCTTCCATTCTTCTGCTTCGATCTTTCCCTCTCTCTCTCTCTTCTTTCTACACAGACGACAAATAGCATCGATTCGGTTTCTCACTCGACTCTTTTTTCCTCGTCTCCTCATTCTTTTCTCAATGACGGTAATAATCCATTATCATCAATCTAACTACGAGCCACTCTTATCATTCAATAATTGAAAAGAGCGAAATCCCATATTGCTGACTTCATTGGTAAGTTCGCTTAGTTTCCATTATCCTCTCGACATAATTTAGTTGTTTGAAGAAAAACTTTCCGATTCGAAAAAAGAGAATAGAAAATGTACGCCCAACTATTTACAAATAGCTAGTCAAGGTTATACGCCTGTTAATGATAGAGTACTAATCATATAGTGACGTTAATAATATTAGACATGCACATATGAAAAGCGAAGCAAACAAGAGAGAGAGAGAGAGGAAAAGACTGTTACTTCTTTCTCTCATTTGTCATAGTTTAATCAACATTCATCATCAATCAAGCTCGATGAAAGTCTAACACTATGAGGAACAATGCAATGGTATTCTTTAGTTCCAAAGTCATCGTTTCTCCTCGTGATATATCTTAATCTGACATTAACCGTCCATTCGTTAACAAAATCAATATGCTCGTCTTACCTAATCGCGACTGATATCGATATCCGAACACATCATCAATACGTTCAACCATGTCCTGTGTCGTACCCATGTCAATGTTTATGCGACATGGAAAACCATCGATTATGGATTGATTGTTTTTCTCGTCACTTGCAAACATTTCCAACATTTGAATACATCGATACAGATCAAACAATACTCGAATGGAATATCGATTTAGCATTCAACTCATTCGACAATGTGACAATTGCGAAATGGTTACCTGAAAATATGCGTATCCGTTACTTGATTTTCTCAGGTTCATTAGCTTATGATCTCATAGTTCAATTAAATTTAACTCACAGACATTTGATCGATCAATGGCCAAACAAGAAACACTTGTTTATCACAAACAATGATGGTGATGAAGATGAGGAAGAAGAAGAAGAAGAAGCAGAAGACGATGACGTTGAAGAGCTTATGAAACGTTCTATTTCTCAATCTGATTATGAATATACACGTCTTCTTACGGAATTAACATCCGAATTACGCGATCAAAGCAAACAAATTCAAACGTTTGCTCTGTCTTTAGCCGAAGAGCCATCACCCATTTCCATACTCTATCTCGATCATAATCGGCTCGGCGAAATTCCACTGAGAGCTCTATACAATGCTACAGGTTTATATGAACTTTATCTTTCCTACAACAACATAAGTTCATTACCCGCGTACGCATTTGGATTTTCCCATCGGCTAACTCGTTTAGATTTATCGTATAATCAAATCTCGTCCATAGATAATTTTACATTTGAAAGACATCCACGTGCTTATGCAGGCCCGTTCTTAATCGATTATTTGGATCTCTCGCATAATCAATTAACAGTCTTAAACTCACACTGCTTTTCTTACTTAGTCAATTTACGTTTATTGAAACTACAGCATAATCAAATCTATGAGTTATCCGCCGATGTTTGGACGGGACTCTATCGTTTAAAGTATCTGGACTTATCACACAATTATATCGACAATATCACTCAAATATTCTATAATGCATACTTGAGTGAATTAAATCAGTTGAAACTGACATCGAATAATATCAGTCAAATAAATTCTTGTGAATTTCTTGCATTACAAGCATTGAACCGTCTGGATCTTAGTAAGTAATTTGCTCATTCGAACCTATCGATCATTTCTCGTATGTAGGTAATAATTATCTTTCAAATCTTGACACATGTGCATTCTACGGTCTTCCTCGAATAACATCTCGTTCTTCGTTGCATGTGTATCTGCATGCAAATCAATTCGAAACATTGCATCCGTGTACATTCAATAACTTTGCACGCTCAACAATTCACATTGAGAACAATCCGTTGATATGCAATTGTACATTGAATTACTTGTTACAAGATAGGAAATCTTTAGCGTATACAGGACAAGAATGTCGAGGAGGATATGTGTATCAACTGCAAACACAATTTTCATCGCCAGCTATAAGAAAAGCCAATCGTAGGGCAGGAAAGAAGTTTGCCAACACGTCGATAACATGTCGAGATGCTTATAAATATTACAATAATCTGTGTCCACAATCTGATTGTAAAACTCTCTGTTCACCGAACGAACAATTTGTTATTCAAGTCAGCAAAATAGCTCTACCGAATCGAACAACATCAACATGTCGACGAACATTTCTTCCATTGTTGTTTTTTGTCTTCTATGTGATATTAACTGAACAAGTCAGAGTCGTTGTTTAAGTTCGTTTTTGATTTTGTCATGAGAATAAATGAATTGTCCTGTTGTCATCATTATTCTTCAAGTCCAGCGTGCCGCACACACGATCTATCCTCGACATTTACATAATTGAATATTATCTCAATAGAAATTCCATCGATCAAAGATAATATTTTATCACTAATGTCAACTGAAGAACGTCTAAGACAACTGATTAATTTCTTCTGTAGACGAACCAACTAATGACAATAGCAAATCTTTCATCCGTTTTCTCTCACATTAATTTATTCCGAAAACAAACATCAAAATCATACAATATTTTGTGAGTAGATAGAGAAAGAAAAATCTCTAGCAGAGCAAACTACCTAGTATGACTATACCATATTTGTCTTTTTTTTCTCATTATTTCCCAAGTGAGGCTTTTTTCCCGCACCATTTTGATGAAAGAATATATAATCAACGAGTGAGAGAGAAGAGAAAGTAGTTGAAGACTATTCAAATATTCTTTCTTTTTTTTTACGTTTGAAAAAGAAAACAACAACTCTGTCTCGCTTCGATTCAATTACAAAGAAATTGTGAAAAGTTAAACGATGACAACAGCGGAAGAAGAAATACGACGCCGATTGTTGGATGTAGCACCGGAACCGAATGAATCTCTACCATTTCACGGTCGAGTTCGTTTAGCCCGGAGAAAAAAACCCGATGCATGGTATATCAAAGCCGCTGAAGTAAAACTACTCAATTGATTCGCGCTAAGATTCTATTCGCTGTAATTATACATATATAGGGTCTTCTTCTTTGTCTCGGCATCGGATTACTTTATGCAACTTATTATCATTTCGAACATGTGCATTTCCATGTCAATCGTTTCTATGCTAATTTAGGTTACAAAGAAGCCCAGCATAATCTCGGACATAGTTATATGCATGGTAGAGTTTCTTCGAAAGTCGCTTTTTATTGCAGAATGTTGTTATCTTGTTCAGGCGTGGGTGCTGATCATCATTCGGAATCAGCTGTTTATTGGCTTAGACAAGCAGCGGATCAAGGCCATCCGAAAGCGCAGTATAATCTGGCGATATCTCATTTACGTGGATTTAATACAGGTCTTCAACCGGGGTAGGATAGTGTTGCAAAAGAGTATTGAATTTCTTGTGGATATTCTCTAGGGAAGCACGTAAGTTGATTGAACAAGCTGCCAAAGCCGGCATACCGGAAGCGATCAAAACTTTGGAAACCATCTGTGCTCAAGGTGGTTGTGAAATTTAGAAAGAAAACTTGAATTTTTTTTATATTAATGACAAGAAAAACAAATAAACACAGATAACATTAAGATTTAAGTTTAATGCCACGTTTGATACCTGCACGGATACCGGTCGGTTCACCGACATATCTTTCTTCTTCAGTTCGCGCTGTTGGCACACGACTTTTACGTTTGGTTAGTGCACGTTGATACTTATTGCGATGACGAACGCGAGGATTTCGGTTTTCTTTCTTGCGTTTGATGGTGAGACCTTTATTCTTCTCGATTTCGTACGTAATACGACGTTTCTGTGGTTTTTCTTCTTCTTCTTGCTCGGATTTCAAATCATGTTCAACCTTCGTTTGCCCTTCTCGTCTCTTCATCATACGTTCACGAAGAGACGGTTTCGCAGACGAACTTCCATTCTAAAATATATCATTGTCATGCACTGTTTTTCATTCCTTTCACGAAAGCTTACCGTTGACTTAGATGGTAACTCAATTCCACTGCTCATGATCAAACGTGGCTTAGCCACTTGAACCTTTTGGACCAATGTTGAGGATTGATTCGCATTAGTCTTCTTTTCTTGAAGTGATTCACATAGTTTCAAGAGATCGGGCTTCATCGATTGAAAATCTTCATCGATCAATTGACAGAGTTTTCGATATTGTTCAATATCATTAATTATCGGGTGTTTCGACATGTTCAAATCATTTGACTTCATCATTAAATATAAACTTAAGTACGAACAATAAGTTAGATAGAGTTCAAGAATCGATAGGACAAATTGCCAGCCCGGATAGGAATGAAATTCTTCTAACGAAGATGTATCGATGACAAGTTGTACGAATGGTAGAAGGTATATTTTTATATCATCAAATATGTTCTTAAATTCTTTACATAACGGTTCCAATTCAGGTGCTTGATCACGAATTAACTGTAAACGTTCATTGGAACTCAATTGTAAAAGATTATCGGGTAAAATGACATGACGGTGTGATGTTTGGTCATCAAGTTGACGATCCGAAGCAAGTGCCGTCGATGGCTTCGATTGAAATAAATCCAAGCCAAAGTCGCTTTTTTCCAACATATCATAATATTTCCTTTGAATCTGTACAGCTTCTTGCTCTTCCAACTTCGCATCTTCATCATTAGCGTTGACATCTTCGTTGTAGAACATCTTTCGGGTTGTGCCCCATGAACCATTGAGATCTTCATCGAGACCTTCACCATTTTCATCGTCGTCGTCGTCTGCTACACCTGATATTTGTTGATAATCATTGTCATCATCCTCGGCATCACTTCCCATCGAGCTTTCATCGTCATCGAACGCGAGAACTTCATCGCGACCGTTCGCTTCGTCGGAATCATCGTTCAATGCCCATGAAACGCTCTTCTTATTTTTCGAAGGCTTTTTCGTTGTTTTGGCTAATGCCGTTCGAAGATTTTCATCGCGTTCAGTGTAGAAATTATCGATCTCGTCACCCATATCATTGTCGTCGGATATATCAATCTCAGGATCAGATTGTTTGGATCGAATGCCTGCAGTCGGTTTTTTACGAGACTTACCCATGAATAGTAATCTAAAATAAGAAATAGATAATCATATACTGCGGAATTTTACTCTCCATTCGGATTATATGCATGAAAGATGATTCAATCATTCAATGAAGATGTCAACGCAATTAGAAGCTGTTGTTTTATCTGCTACGATCAAGAGGAAAAGAATCACGAGTTGTTTCTTTCTCGAAAGAGAGGATAAGTAATCTTCTTTTTTTGTTTTATGTTGAAAGTCGAATCGACAAAACAAGAATACACACAGTACAAGTATAAAAACAAGAGAATGATGTTAGTCTTTCCCAACAATTGTACGTGTGTTTAGTTGAATGATGTTTAATCTTCATCGGCTTCTTCTTCCTCGGCACCCTTTTCTCCTTTGCGCATATTTTTTCGTTTAACACGACCTATTTACAAAAGAAAAGCAAAGTTTATCAATCAATCGATATTCAATTCCATTTACCTGGACGACCACCGCTGGATAAGGGTGAACGAAGTGCAAAGTCGATGTGTTTCTGTGAATCAAGACGGACAATGAATGATGGAATATTGACCACTTGTTTTCTGACACTAAATTGACAGAGAAGAAGAATACAAATCGAACAAAGATGTGTATTCGTACCGAATGTGTCGTTGACGAATAAGTACACGAGCATGATGGATACTTTTAGCGAGGGCAAGTCGTAAAAGTTGAGTTTGAAGACGACGTTCCAAGAAATCTTCGACTTTCAAACCCAAAACGTAATCGAGCTTCATTTTCGATTCATCGAGTACACCAATTCGAACAAGACGACGAAGTAAAGCATTGCCTTCGAATAAGCGTTTGGGATCTTTCTCTTCGAGTGTGAGCAATTCACGAGCAGCTTTACGAATCTTCGCTAATGTGTAACGTACACGCCAGACTTCACGTTTGTTTCTTAAACCGAATTTACCAATCAGTTCAAGTTCTTGATCAAGACGTTCCTTTTCATATGGACGCCGCGGTGTTGAATAAGTTTTGTTGGATACGAGTGGAACACGCGGCATATTTGCCTAGTGTGATCTGAAAAACAAGGAAATTCGTACAGATTAGCAATTTACTACTCTCTTTAACAAAATGAAGTACATTAAAAGAAAACAACCAACAACATTCAATTGTACGGATCAATTTTTATTGGTCGGTGGGTAAATTCGTTTTGTTTGTTAGAAATTTATAAATAGATATTTTTCCTTGCATGAAAATACATTACCGGATATTTTTTATTTTGAAATAATTCATAGGAAAAGTTTTATCTTTAGAGGACAGTTTGCCTGATTGGTTGACTCAAGAACCAATCAGTATAAAATGTTCTGATTTAGTTCTTTGATTCACTATCATCAGTACTAGCAATCAAAAACATAGTTGACTGGATGCAAACATGCTACAGCGATCATTTGCAAGGAATTTGGAAAAAAATTATTGCGACGTCATGGAATCCTTCTGCATTCTACATCGATTTGAGGACATGCCTCGTAATCACTGACGCTGCAGTTTTGTTGAAAGGTTAGAAATGTTTTTATCGGTTCTCATACTTATCGAACACAGTCAGATAAATACACTCCGCTCTTGACTTACATCTCAGTTAGTCCGCGTCGAAAACGAAGACGACTAATGAATATTGACTATACATATTGATGCACACATAGCCGAAATAATAATATTAGATGACGGTAATTACGTATGGTATTTTTTAGAGGCGATATAATCAGTTGTATCCCGTAGAGAGAAACACAGTATTGTCAACAAATTCGATGCTCCTCCCATTTACTATACTAGTCTCTTCTTTTAGAATATTGGAAAAAAAGGACAAATAGCTAGACATTTTCATTCTATTCTATTCGATCAAATGCGTGATACAACAAAACTGACAGAAGATATTGAAACAACGGAATTAAGTTATTACTTTTGCAAAAATCAAAGTGGATTTTACAATTACATCGCTCAATATGCGGCTTCGAGCAGTATCGAAGATGATTCCAAGCCATTACGTGTTCATAAAGTAGAAAACATCATCAGTTGTATATACTCACCGAACAAATCGTGGAGCTTTTATAACGCTGTTTTGGACACGAATATCTGTCAAATATTGCAAGAGTCCCATCGTGAGCATGATGCTGATCGAATAATTCGACAAATCTTATCTTTTGCATCTCAATATCGATGTCCAATACGTTGTTCGGTCAAACCCACAGCAGTAGACACTTTCAGATTATTACGACGTCATGGATTTCTTGAATTACCCGTTGGAAATGATGCATATCAATATGTCGATTTCTATCATCTTGAACGCGAACTTAAACAGATTGATCTTTCTTCGGATATAACTATATTTGAACTTGACGATGCAACACAGAATGATTGTTTCGAGAAGAAATCAGAATGGGGTCGTGTTTTGTGTGAAAGCTTTAATGTACCAAATCTCGAAATCTATCAACAATTTTATTCAGACGTCTGGAGCAGAGTCAGTGTTGGTCCGACTACACCAATACGAATGTTCACTGCCACAATCGATAATCGTATCGTTGGTGGATGTCACGTAAGCTTTTCCAATGGAGTTGCTTGTCTATTCAATGTTGTCACACTGAAAGCATATCGCGGCAAAGGTATAGGGAAAGCATTATCACTTCAAGCAATGATTTGTGCGAAAGAAGCAGGCTATCGTTATATGATACTTCAAGGCAGTGAAATGGGTTTGCAAGTTTATCGAAAATTAGGCTTTAAAGCAATTCCTCCATGTAAAATAATGATAAAATTGTCAACGATGGCATGGTATTACAAAATACTCGAAATAATATTGGACAAAATTGGTATTCTACGATTGCAAAATTTAATAAAATCAATCAAGAAATCGTGGAAGTTCATTTTATTCATCTTCGCGATTATGATCAGTATAATTATTGCGAGAATCCTCATGTAACTTCCTCAATAGAGTATAAGAATTACTATTATTCTGTTCGAGTTTTGTGCTATATTCATTGATTTTCTCAACATTTATTTTTTTGTTCGTGACTTATTCCAGAAATACACATGACGTGCGCAAAATTTGTTGAGCCGACGACAGAACAGAAAAATGTGTGTCAATGAAAACGTACACGTGACAAAAGTACGATAAAGTACGGCGTTTTGCCTTGTCATTTTCTTAGTTTATGTAAATATGAAACAAGACCGATAACACGTCAGAAACTTTCAATTTGCTCTAGATGACGACATCTAAACATTCCACTCTGGAATCACTATTTCCTTCGCATTATCCTGAGCATGTCTATAATTTTGCTTATGGTTCAAATATGTGTCCTAAGGTGTTATCTGGTCGACGAAAAATTCGTCCACTGGAGTCCATTCCGGGTGTGTTAGAAGGCTGGCAATTGACATTTGATCTACGAGGTGTTCCAGGTGTTGAGCCGTGCTTCGGTAATATCAAAGAAAATCCACAGTCAGAAATTCACGGTGTTCTACACAAGATGACAAACAAAGATTTTAAACATCTTTTAGCTACAGAAGGTGGATCGGGGGTGGACGAAAATGGATACATTCCATACAAGGTGAATGTGCATGCTTACGATGGACGCACAATCGAAGCTTATGCGCTAGTAGTTCGCCAGACAAGTCCATCTATTCTACTGCATCATGCATTGCCAAGCGCTCGTTATGTTGGTTTACTACGTAGAGGAGCAGTACATCATAGAATCCATCCGTTATATATCGAATATTTACAATCTCTCCCATCTATCGAGCGCAATAAACCGATCATGGTATTAGTTATTTTCGAAATTCTCGCACTAGTTGGACTATTGTCTCCAATTTGGATTCCTGTCGTTGGCTATTACGTGTGTACAAATCAAAGAGCACATGCTCGAGCGTACTTTTTCACATTGATTATGGTCAATTTATGGCGTGTATATCGTTTGTTTGGCTCGAGAAGAGTGATGCAGCCTTACTATTCCGCGCCATTTCCTCTTGGAAGTACGAATTTCAAAGAAAACACAAAGACATTTCGTGCACAAGTACAAACTGATGAACAGACTCTACCCGATACGATACCCGATGATCCAACCTCAACATTGCTTACAACTAAACAACGTAAAACTGGTTCGGACCCTGCAGAATAGAAGTTTTAGTATAATATTTACTTTTCCTACTAGAATTTTGTACGAATAAATCAACATTGAAGAATCCAATCATAAATGTGTATTTGTTAAACGTTATAGAAAGAGAAAACATACATCGAAAATAGACAACAACAAGCAAAACACACATTCACATATATTTAGATTTCCATAATATACATATATATATGTCTATATATGTGCATATATAGGCTCGTCCAGAAATGGAATTGTTTAGTTTCATATCCTTGAACAATCGCATTGATACTGTTTGAATTAACAAGAAAAGAAAAACTTCCCCGCAAAACATGTACAAAATACAAAACACGAAGAGAGAAGAGAAAAACTACTGTTCTAACGACACAGAAAAGAGAGACAATAACGTTTCTGTTGTATGGAATAAAATGAGACACACAGAAAGTTTAACGACTAGCAAATACACATAGATACAATAATTCTCCATTAACGAACAAGAAGAAAAAACAATGAAATCACAACACGGAAGCACCCGTCGTTGACTAGAATGGAAATCAACCGCGAAAATAAAAAATATAATTTAACTCTTCTCTTTCAGTTGCTCAGAAGTAAATATAATTGAATAATTATCGATTATTGTTTGGGTCAATGGTTTAGCTTTTTGACAGATTTGTTCAGCTGTGCGTAGATCATGAAATTGTGGTTGAAAGAGATTTGGCCACCATAATACTGCTAAATTCGATGAATCCATGTGAGTTAATGATGCATGCTGTGAAACACTGAAATTCGAATTGCAAACTTTGCGTTTTTTTCTCCTTATGCAAATATCGAACTTACAAATTTAGATGTTTGAATATGAATTTATTTGTTCGATACTTCAGATCACTTGTGCGTAGAAGAGCTTTTCGCAACGGAGAGAAATTTTGTTCACGTAATTGATCGACTAGAAATAAAATCGGAAGATGAAAGATCGATTACATAGGAAAATGTTTACGCGTCAATGTTTGACAGTCGTCGAATTGTTCTAAGGAAAGAATTGATTCATCTAATTTTCTCATCATGTCTTTAAATGCCGTGGCGACGGCGCTTGCTGGAATTTGTAACGTGTTCAAATCGAAATTCGGATCTTGACTTAGTTTGTTAATGACTAATTCAACTTGATTTTTGTATCCGGATATACGATAAAGTCCTTCAATAGCTAGACCATGTTCTTCAATGTAAATAACGCATTTCTCAACGAACAGGGGAATTTTTAGTTCATTGGATAAAATGCAACGGCTCAGCACTAAACGTATTGGCACTTGATGATAGGAATTATCATGAGATGAATATGGAGAGAGAGCTGCATGAGTCTGAGGCGATGTCGAAGAAATATTGGCTTTGAAAAGTGGAGGCGACGAAACTGTGGTAATCGTTGTTAATGCTGAAGAACGAGATTTCATTTCATTTTTCTAATCAATGAGAAAGAACATCGGTTTTTTAGAAATTCAAGTTCGAGTAGTAATCTACATGTCTTACTTCACGTCTAGCTTGAGCAAAGTATTGTAATTGTCGACGAATCCAATTTGCTGTTGGTCGTTCTTCCAGCTCCTCGATAGATGCATTCTAAAACAGTCGTAAATATGACATTTTCTTTGTCGCCGACTCTTCTCTTTCTTCCTCTTCGTACTTTGCTATCTTTTATATAATCTCCCATACTTGAGTCATCCTCATTCGATACCACAATACTTGTGGATGGTTCAGGAGTATTATTTGCTTTATTTGAATCTAAACAGACATTAACATGAGCATTCATACGCCTTTATGTCGACGAAAACAGACCCATCCTTGAGTCAATACCGGAATCTGTCTGTGTTGTATCGTGAACGCTTTTCTTTCGTCGTTTGAAACTCGGTCGGCGTTTCTTTTTCTGACTTCGTTTATCTTCACGATTCAAGATGTCATCATCAGAACCAGGTACAACTAAAGAATTTCTGTGATTGTCACCGAAAACAAGGACAGTATCACTTACGCTTCTTAAGAACTTCATTACTCGAAGCTGAACCTGTCACGTCATTTTGTTTCGCTCGAATACGTTTACTTTTCCTATCCGATGATTTACGTTGCAGAGTAACGGTGGTGTTTTGTAGTGTTGTTGATGATGTCTTCAATCGTTCATCGCTTGAACTATCGATTGACGAATCCGTCACTAAGATTTCCATGAAACGAAAATTTGTTGTATTCAAATCGGAAGAAATCAAGTAAGTTACCTCGGGTTTGCTTCGACGAATCAGTTATCGAATCTTCAATAACACTGTCGTGAACTATCGATGACGAAGAGTTGATCAGATCGTCTCGAATTGTATTAGATGTCGGGGACGATGCATTGTAGTACCCTTTCGTTGAATACGGTGTAGTTGTTGCTGTAGCTTCATTTAATTCGATAACTTCTGGTGTAGCTAATGGAACTTTCACTTGCATGGTTGGTCGATGTTTATACAAATGAAATTTCATTTCGTCAGCTTCATTAATCGTCTGATTTTGCAATGACTAAAACACATCGAAGTTCTAGTTAATATTCATTATGTAACATATCGCACTTACATTGCCATTGCTTCTTCCTGGTTGGTAGGTATTTCGAGTTGCTAGAAACACAAAAAAAAGGGAAATTCTTATTATTCGAGTGTGTTTAGTAAATGTAATAGCAATATGTCAACGCGAATTTTCTTTTTCTCAGTTGTTATCGTGAAGGTGATAATATGTGAGAAAGAGAAACGATTTAGACAAGAGAACAATAAGCAAGAGAAGATTACAAGCACCACGAAAGTCTACGTTACCATGAAATGTTAAATGATTAACTAGAATAAATAAATATGGTTTTTTTTTAAATGGTTTTAGTTTTCTACTATCAGATGTTGATTTATCGATTAAACAACTATGTAACTAGCAAGCCAAAGAAGGTCTATAACTTACTCGGATGTTCCATCAATTTCGCAAAACGCATGCTGGTTGATTTTTGAAAGTACTGTTGTTGGGAATCTGGCATTGAACTTGTTGATATCGATGATGATGACACTAACGAGAGACTAGGTGCCGATGGTTCTACCGGTGTAGTGGGAACGATCGTAGAGTCAGCTCCGTTGGTGGAATTCGATAGATACGGGTAAGATCGATACGTAAATACTAGTCAGACATAGAAATTCAATATAAAGTCGTGTTTTAGATATCAACACTACTTTGTTCGTTATTGGTGGGAGTTAATGATGATTGATAACGTTTGGGTGAGTTTTCATTGGAACGACTTGCTAGAGTTAAGGAAACGATTCGGTCATTATTCAGTTGATTGATTAGTGGTGGACGTGTTCGTTCCAAACTAGATGTTATAACATCATTTGTTGATGATTGAGTAAAACGACTAAACGACAAGTTTATGAATTGGTTTCCTTTCGAAGAAAACAAATGATCCTACTCGAAATAAGATGTAACACCAGCAAGAAGTTCTTCACAATGATAATGATCATTCACAGATGTATTTCCATGCTTGCAAGTCCAGCATTGATTGAGAAAAGGCACAAAATGTTCTGGAAAAGAGAAGATTGCAGTGAAGTGTCTGCGTTCGAAGAAGAAAGATTCTTACCTTCGAGAAAATTTCGAATTGTTCCGCTGTGGCATTGCACACAATATTCAGTTTGCGGAATATTCGTCGAATATCTTTTGATATTTGATAGTATCGCGTCTTTGACACACGAGAGAATATATATAGGCGGACGTATGATGATTGTTCCATTGATATTCTGTTGGTCAGGTTCGTTTTCCTGAAGTTCGTTTTGTAGAACTGTCGAAATATGTTTTTCCAGATACCTGAAAAGAAAAAGAAAATGTTGAATATCAATGAGATAATCATGTGTAATTCGCATATCGTTGAGGTAAAAGGTAGTATTTATAGAACTACGCAATTCAGTGCCTATGAAATATCGATTTACTTACATCATAGTATTCAGAGCTGCCTTTCGATCTCGATCGTAAAAAAGGATGAATCCATCGAATTCCGTCAGTGTCATCGCAAATAATGAGTGAAAAGAAACAGGAACGAGTTCGATCTAAAGGAAAACATCGAAGAAACTATTGACAAAGTATGTACTAGGAGTTACTTTTCGATTTGATCGACCGAGTAATGTATGAAACAGAAATGTTGATTGATTACTTATCATTAGAGAGAATCGTGATGATAATTGAGAGAAGAATGTTTCCACATCGTTCTTTTCACTTCCACACATGAAACAAAGCAGTATTCTCAGATGTTTTGACTCAGCAGTTTGACTCGTATATCCATCGGTCGATAGGAACTGTTCCACTGCTGATCGTAGTTGTTCGCTTGATATGGACTTTGCTTCAAATTGAGCATACAAGTTCACAATTGGCATATCTAAATCGAACATCGTTTTTGCAAAGAAAATTCACTTCGACAACACTCACGATCAGTGTTCAAATGAAGTTTTTTCTGTACAACGATATCTCGTAGTAGTTTTTGAGCAGTGGCTGAGACGAACAGACAACCTATTGAAAACAATATCGAACATCTTTAGGAGAGAAAAGTAAACACCAACCATCGATTCTTTCAGATCGCAGAGCATTCAACGTGATTAGATTGATCGGTAGATCAGTCAATTCATGCTAAAAATCACAACAGATTCCCTAATTGCACTATTTCAACAATTACATACAGAAAATAATCGTAGGCAGTGCTGGATATCATTGTCATGACCACAGATTAGGATATTCCTACTCGAATAAAACATATGCAAGAGAACTGTTGTCAAACTATGCGATCATTACTTATTCCGATTTTTTAATTTGAGTTTCAGTAAAATTTCATTGAGAATTCGAATATCTGCACAACTGTTTTCCGTTGGACAAGCAATTTCCAATTTCTTCTTCGATTTTCCTTCATTATCATCATTGGAAATCGTTATTCGAGTGTACGGACAGAAGTTCTCATCCACACTGACGTTACTTGTCAATGAAATCGCGGATGATTTTCGATGTTTAAATGATCGTCGACGTTGTTTCAATAGTCGATTCAAATTCAATGATGGATAGTAAATACTATCGTACAGAAAATGACAATGGCACATGATTAGCCGATGTCGATCTGATTCACGTTTGTTCAATGATTGGTATCTAAATAAGAGGAGAAAAGGAATGAGACACGCGATCGTAAAATGCGCTGATTTCTTCGTCTCCGATGTCAGGAAACTCGTTTCCGTAACTCGACCGGCAAGGTCGGATCGGATCATCTTACCTTGCGTCATGTTTAATATGCTCGATAATTTCCTTTTGAAATATGTCGTCAATGGTTACAGTCGTTGTCTTGCTATTCATTTCGGACTTCTCGACGGAAATTTTCGTTGCTCGATTCATTTTCTCGAACGTCGTTGTAAAGATTTCCAACGATTCAAATAGTAATTCAACAAATTGCAAACAGATTACATGATACAAATAAGATTGATGGAATGCAAACACTCGTAGACGATCTTGTCCACTTAACGATTCGTAGCACTCGCGGCCCAAAAAATAAACACTATCTTTATCATAGGAGTCACCGTAATGGACAAGGCCAGCTTCAGAGAAGCGTTTTAATAAATCAAAAAATGATCGACAATTGCCTCGACGAATTTGTTCTACTTGACGAGTATTCATATAAGATTCGAAACAAATACGCGCTTCAGACGTATCTAAGAGATCTTCAGGAATGATAAGAGGATTTGTTGGATTATTACATTCATAATCTGACCACATTGAAGATGGTATCACAGTTGACGAATAATGGGAATGTTTTTGCATTTGTAAACGAACATAATTCCAATCTCTAGAAAACGAATTCAAACTTGATTTGCATTGTCAATCTACCGAAAGGAAGTACTTCACATCTGTCTTTTTTCTCTAACCTATGAACAAGCTTTATTCTATTATTCGTACTTTTTCAAGTATATAATGACCATTTCCTGAACTATTCAGAACAAAGAAATAACCGAATATTGTTCTTGTCCGATTACATAATCCTTCTGACTTACGGCACAGCTTTTATAAAAATATAGATGCCTAGTATGTCAGTGTTCTCTTCTCTGCCGATAGAATTATATATACTCGGAATCTTTCAAAGTTCGCTTCTGGCTGTTGAATGTCGCTCTTGGCTCGAGCAAACTCGATGACATATTGAATAATTAACCAAATTGAACAAAATCCAGGATACATACCTTGATAGTTTCGTTTTCGAATCATTTAAAAGCAATTCAATAATCGGAATTAGTCGTTCATTGATTAGTTTTTGTCGACAGATCTTTTTCAATTCTTCAATATGTTCATTGTACAAACATTGCGCTTGTTCTCTACCAAACATATCCATGAATGTTTGCACACTTGTGTGATGTTGCCATCGATCGTAGAATTTCTCCCACGAAGCGATACGAAGATCAGGAACATGTCGACTTAGTAAAGCTCGATATTCAGTTTGAATAACATGTTTCAATGATTGTTCGTTTTTGTAAGCATCGATGTAGTTTGGTGGAAGATATTTCGTATGAAAAGCCTTTCGAGTTGTTTCGTCACATGCGTACAGCGCAAGTTCGAGTACGGATTGAATATTCACATGTTCATGTGCGGAGGTATGAATGACGGGAATCTGAGGGAATGAATTGTATATCGAATGTTCGAATTGTACAGATAAAGCAGATTGATTAGGAGTTAAATCATTTTTGGTTGTAACGAGAATGATCGGACGACGAGTTTTTAATAACGTATGAAGAAAAACAAGAAAATCAGCAAGGGGCTTATTGGATAATAGATCGTAGAGACAGAGAAATGCTTCGATAGGAACTTTATCTTTCGGAAAGGTTTTACGATCGTCGGTGCGTAGTGTTAAAACTGATATTCGTTTGCAGTAAGTTTCAAATGCTTCATGATGCGTTGTATCGATTGATGCATGTTCAAATAAATGAAAAATACCTTCACGTTTTTCATCAAGTCGTCGGTGTTTGATTGAACCCCAATAAAACCATGGCCAAATCTTCTGATTCGAACTCGAAAGAAATGCTTGATAATTATCAACATTTGAATCGATCAAACGTTTGCACAAACACGATTTGCCCACAGATGGATCGAAACTAACGATTGACAGATGATATTGTGGTGGTGAATATGACATGATAAATTATCCATTCAAGGACGACATAGGCATCTAGAAATACGACTAGGTGGTAATTTTTTGTTGTCTATTGTTCGAATAACAAAAAAAAAGGCAGAAGAAGGAGAAGCCTTAAGGGAATACTCGAAAAGAGAAATGTACTGCTGTCGATGAGACGATGAATACATTAAATACTTGAAGAACAAAACGAGAATGTATGTGTGACTACTTTGTAGAAAATATTATTTCGGTCCAAAAATAAGATTAAAGATTTGTTTTGACATACTTGCACGTTGCGTTTTTTTTTCATTCAAAAAAAAAAAGAAGAAATCAAAATAAACAAATTGTTGACATGTTTGAATGGAAAATGAAAACGAAGAGATTTTATTGGGTTAATCGAATAATCCAATTAGATTAGAGGTGTTGAAAGATGGCGTTAGTCGAATTTTCCATGTGAAGATCGAGTTTTCTACGAACAGAGAAAGCGCGTTCAATTTCTGCTGGTGATAACCAGAAAAAAAACGTCGAAATGATCGAAATAGCGAAACAGATGATTACGTTTTCAAGTACGACATACAAATTCAGTGAAGGACATTGAAAAAAAAAGTGAAAGAATAGAAGACGAAGAAAGATAGGCAACTATTTTAACAAATGATCTTCAAATTGATGAGATGTAGAGTAGGACATGAAATTTGACCATGAGTGATACATAAGTGAAACACTAAATGCATAATTTCTTCTTCGAAAATGTCATTACCTTGTATTGTCCATATCGTACGATGTTGTCTGCTGTCGAAATTCCGAAGATCAAGCTGCCTAATTAGAAACATTCGTTTAATTTTGTTATTACAATGATCTTCGATCGAGCGAAACTGTTTTGTGTGTCAACGATAGAAATGTGTTTGAAAATAACGTAGTTGATGTTGCGTTTTCGATCAATACTTTTGATAGGAATTATACCATAGCGAAGGTAAATGTATACAAACTAAATACACAAACATCAGCTTGATCTGATAAATTCTGAAGGAATGTTTGTCGAGCGACACAAATAAGATCAAGGTAAAGATTGTAATTGTCGATTCTTTATTAGAATCGAACCCGTTCTATTATAAAACTTTCGTTTTGCGTATTGTTCTTTTCCTCATGCTCTTTAGTGTACTTTCGAAATAGTTTATATCATTGAGATTTTCATGGTAAAGATCAGCAGTGGTTATTTTTAACTTCATATCTCATGCAAAACATAATACTTGTCGACATTTGCCTAAATCTATTGGACGAGATCGAGAAATGTACTTTCGAAGAGTATCAAATGCATGTTTTCAGCACTCATCATCAGCGAAAAGCAGAAGGACAGATCGAAATTTTAAGTCTTTCCATCACTACATCGTCCTTGACAATCTTCACTGTTGTAACTATATTTTCGTAAGTACTTTGTATAGACATCTATGGTCAAGATAGGATAATGAACAGTAATCAAAGAATTCGGCAACGCTCAATTACTGAATATGATCGTGTTGGTACGGAGATGATCAAATCATAGATTGAAATTTTTCGTTCGATTCCGACCGTATGCTCAAGGGTCGTTTAGGTGTGAAGAACGTTCGAAATGTATCAGTATTTCGACGTGATTCATATTGTTTTAACTTCTGAGTTATTTGCTTGAATGAATGAAACGCGAAAGAGCACACAAACAGATTGAGTGTCATTAAAAAGCAAGGATAAATAAAAATGTGTTAAGTTTCGTTGCTTTGCACGTTCAATAATTGCTTCGAAGCAAGGACGTAACGTCTCACTCGTTTACCTATGACGTCCGACAATAGGTTACATGTTGTTCGTCATTAACGACCGAAGGTGTTTATAATTTCCCACTTGAATAGGCAGGTTAGAAATGATTTGTATTTTTTTAATATTGGAGAGAAATGATGAATCATGCTCCAGCTTCTGTTTTTCTCTAAGATGATATAAGAAAAGAAAGAAACAAACATCCATTTGCGTCGGTTGATCAGACTCTTCCCTTTTCGTCATCGAATGTTTGCTTGCTAAACATACACTTTTTTTATTTATGTCTTCAGTTTACGACGGCGGGCAACTTGATCAAGTGAAGAAAAAATGCATAAGAGTAAGAAGGAAAGAGAGAGAGAGTGAAAAGAAAAGAACAACGCATTTTTCTGTTCTTCTTTCTTCATTCTTTTTCGTGATGTTTTGTTGTTAAAGATGCGTCAGTTATAAAAGTATACACGCTGAATAACTTCACATTTAGGTGTTTTTTTTGTATCCTATTCTTTGAGATTCTCGTACAAAATCACTAAACTATGTCGAAATTAATGCTTAGTCCCAACTACTGCAGTTGTACTGGTAAGCAATCAATTCGAGATCATATCGGACTTGACCACTTTACTTTATAGTCATTCAAGCACGAAATCTACCAGATAAAGGCAAAAATGGTGGTATGTACCGTATACGAGTCAGTTCGAGTGAAAACTACTTGCTTGTCTAGGGCCTGATGCATTCTGTACGATTAGTATGGGGAAAGAGAAGTTCGTCACTGCTGTACGTGAAAAAACGACTTCACCTGATTGGAATGAGCAATGCGATATGTAAGATGAAATAGGAGATATTGCTTCGTTCAAATCGTGCGTGTATATTCTAGGCCAGTTGTCGATGATGCAATAATTAAACTGACTGTTTATCATAATAGTAAAAGTTCCCTGTCCAAAGGAGATTTTATCGGACGTGCGTTTGTGCCGTTACGTGATTTACAAGATTATGATCGTGTTCATACAAAGTCAGAAAGAAATGCTTTGTTTTTTTAATGAATTGTTCGCAATGAAATTTTCATTTAGTTGGTATCCGTTGGCAAACAAAGAGGGACGAGTGGATAAAGCACGGGGTGAAATTCAAGTGACCTTACAATTCTATTCAAAGAACAATACGACTGGAAGTGTATTCGACTTAGCGACGAAGAAAAAACATCTGTCATTGAAAGATATCAAACACTCCTTAGGTGATAAATTAAAATCAGCTTCCAAACATCATAAAACGGACCGAACTACAGGTGAAAATCAAGTAAGTCGATTTTGAAACAATGATAAAAGAGAAGTGTGAGACAAATGTGTTAATTTTAGTTGGCTGATCAACGTCGTCGGCTTGAAGGTGGTCATGATGGCAATGGCCGTGATTTTTTGGAAGATTCAATATCTGATGTAAGTGAAATGCTGTTCGTTGAATATTGAATCGTCAAATCACTTTGAAAACGAAGGATCTTGCGTATCTAATATTCAATTTTCTTTAGACAACATCATTTTCTGGTTCATACATGTCGTTGAATAGTATGTCATTCAATAATAACGCAAATGAACAACCGAGAAGGGTAGGTTTTGTATGTTGTCTTTCATTCAAATGTGTAGTAGCTTTGGGTACAAGGAGCAAAGAGAGGGGGGGTTGCAAGGTCAATGTCGTAGACAGGTAGTTAATGAAGTGTATTATTTTCTTTGTTGAAATCCTTTTTTGGACTAAAGAGTGAATGTATGTATGTATGGGTGGGTTTTCTTGGACAGATAGCGTCAAGTATTTCTTTTCATTGTAAAGAAAAAGTATACGCACGCAAAAAAAAACCATATCTTTAACAGAAATCACGTGTGACGACGCAAAATAACGGTCTTGGTCCGGCATTGGGTAGCGTCACTCCGCATTCGTCACGTCGTTCGATTACATCTGATTATGAAACTTCATCTATACTGGATTCAGCATCGATGTACGGGGGCGATGACGGAACGACCTCTTCATCAGCCGATCGATTTCAAACACCACAGCAGCTACATCGTGAAGTTTCTGTTGATGAAAATCAACCATGGAAGAAGACTCCAAAACAGCGAAGAGAGAAAGAACAACATGCATCAAAACCAATTCCAATCATCATTACAACAAAAGCAAGTGCAAATTCACCACAAATAAGCGATCATAATCGACATTCGTCAGTAACAGGCGATGATATCGAAGCAGCATTCGACTCGATCAATAACTACAAAGCTTCGTTGAACAAACCGAAAGAGAACACTGTCGCTGATTCATATTTTGGTCTGTCAACAATAAGCGAACACCAGGATGTCGACGAGAATCCTTTCAGCTCAAATCAACAACCAGAAGAAGAGATCGACTTCGATAATTATTTCACTAAACATAAACAACAAAAACAAGACTCGATCGAGGAGAAAAAACCGAAACGAACCGCACCTATCTTACAACAATCAAAGACCGTCAATCAGTCGAAAGAGGACGATTACTCTAAACTCGCTCTATCAAACGAAATATTCACACCATCGACTTCCGTATCAATCAAAACCGATACGAATAACTCATCTGCATCTACAGTACCCGTCCGACAACAATCGGAAGAAAAACATAACAGTACCGATGACGACATCGATGAAATCATAGGCAAATTAGAGGTAATCATCTTCGGGAAATGCACGCACGCACACATACATACATACATACATACATTCATCTATATCTCATTTTTTTCTCACTTAAATTTCAATCAAAACTCACTTTCTCATATACACACACATATTCTCGTTCTTGCATCATTGTTTGTATGTATGTCTGCACTGCATTTTCCTATCAAAAAACACTTTCTTTGGAAAAATCAAACACCTAATTTCATTTAGCGAGTATCCAGTATGCGTTCTTCTGTTAGACGTAAAATTCAACCGACGCATGACATAATGCAACCGTCATTTTTCGAGGTAACCGTAGTTCCAAGGCATTCGCGAACATCTAAAACAGTGCATTGAAATGAATGTATAGTCAATATTAACACTTTTACGTATTCTGTTTAGCCTGACAACAAACCGTCGAGTACATACAGTCAAACACCGAAGAATCAAAAGAAGAATACGACTTTGCCCGATATTGTCATTGAACAAGCAGGAAAAGGTATGTAAAACAACGAAACTCCACGAATATAATTGGAAGAACAAACGATCACTTCAGGTCCAGCCCCATTGCCACCATCGAAGAAATCAAATACTAACACTTTGAATGTTCTTGGTTATGAGAACGTGAAAAGTGTATCAGTCAATCCGAAGGTTCGTCAAGAGCTTGATTATCTCGATCGTGAAGTAAATGTCATACTCAGTTCATGAACCATCACCGACTGATTTTGTTTCTCTTCAAGGAACTTCTGCATGTAATAGCGTATCAAAGCGATCTGATAAAAAAACGTGATACTCGTGTCAAAGATCTAGAACAATATACCGATGGTCTACTTGTTAAAATTGTCGAACAATGTCCGTCAATCTTACAAGTAGGCTGTGTTTCCAGACGATAATAATCTTACTCATGCTTTTGCTGCACCCAATAACGGCCCGCTGCTCTTATTATTATTATTATTATATTCTAATGAATATCATGCTCGCTTATTTATAAATCTTTCTATTTTTGTTTTGTCTTCCCTACAATCAAATTCGTGTTTCATTTTAGAGTGGAAATATGAAGATCAATTACAAATAATAAGAGATACAGTTTCTATTTTACAGCAATCACTTCCTACTAGTTTCACTTTTCCATTTTTATTTTCGACCTGTGACAAAGATTAACGATCTGTTTTACTCCGATCTGCCGGTGTAAATCTCTTTTCTTCTTCCTTTGATCTGTATATAAACATTCCATTCATGCGACTAATTTTTTTTTCTCTGTTTACTTTTGTTAATTAATTTGCATTCTCTTTTCCATACTTTCATAAGAAGACTTTTTTTTTATTCAAGTGTATCCTTTTTCCTTTTGATATTGGGATGTTTCTATTTCATTAAATTCGAGTTTAACTGATCATTCGATTTGTACTGATTAGCGAAATATCATCGACATGAATCGATCTGATCTTTGATGAAGATAAGAACACAGATCAGTCGTTCTCCACGATCTTTTCGAAAGAACATTTCATATTTAAACTATTTTTCACTGTATCACAATGACCAATAAACAGCAAATTCTCTTTCTCAAGACAGGCATCTCGGATTTGTCTATTGAAAAGAATCTTCTCGCGACAACACCCTATGAGCTCGTTGTTGTTCACGATGATGCCGATCTTTTCCCATACGCCACCAATCCACTTGTTATCGCCATTATCACTACAGACACGCCGATTACAGCCGATGTTGTTCAACAGATTTCACCTTCATGTCGTGTAATTACTCGTCTAGGAGTAGGTTTCGATACTATCGATGTTCAAGCATGTATACAACGTCATATTCGCGTTTGCTATGTTCCTGATTACGGTACGAATGAAGTTGCTGATCATGCCGTTGCTCTTCTTTTTGCTGCACATCGCCGTTTATCGGTATACCATCGAAGAATTGTTGAGCAGAATATTTGGCATCACGAAATACCTGGCGATAGCTTACATACTTTAAGTACATTGAATCTGGGAGTTATCGGAATGGGTCGCATCGGATCTTGTTTTGCAACAAAAATGCGACCATTTGTTAAGGAAATTCTCTCCTATGATCCAATCGTACCTTCAACTTGCATTTCGATTGATGAAATCTATGAACAATGTGATATTATATCACTGCATATCCCATTGACATCAACGAATTATCATATGATTTCATCGGAGTCCATCCGACGTATGAAACGAAAGCCAATTTTAATCAACGTTAGCCGTGGTGGACTTGTCGATACTCAAGCACTGGTAGAAGCGCTCAAAAATGGCCAAATCTCCTATGCAGCTTTGGATGTCCTAGAAGATGAACCACATATAAATCCAGAATTGATTAAACTTGATCGAATACAATTAACACCGCATTCAGCATGGTACACTCGAGAATCAGAATCGGCTCTACGTACCAAAGCAATTCAAGATATCCTACGTATTATGAATGGAGAACAACCGATGTATCCTGTTCCATACCAACAATGAGAATCACATAATCTATGATTTCACCTTTTGAACACAAAGTTCGCATCATTTCTATTAATTACACATATTCACATTTATGTATCTTATCGGAGACATTCATCGAATGATGAATAAAGAATTCATTTTATTGATGAGACCTTCTCGTGTATGTCAAATGAATGAATGAATGAATGGATGAGGAGAAAACGAACCAAGTAATATTCACCTCCTTCTGCGTATTCTGCACATGATGATTAATAAATCGAAGATGAACAACAACAAGCCGTGCCCGCAAGGCATGACCAAATATCTCTCTTTGTTGTTCGATGAATAGAAGAATATAAGATATAGAACGATAAAATTCGAATTCATTTAAATCAAACGATAAGAAACGAAACGAAACGAAAAGAGAAGAAAAGAATTGTCATTACATTCCGTCTAGAAACAACGATGGAGATGGTCACCATACCTAAGCAAAGTAAATCGTTCACGACTATCCTTCCAAGTGAATCGATCACTAGTCGACTTTACAGCGAAGATCTCGCACCGACACCAACAGCGAAACGCACATGGACAACATGGAATTATGCGGCACTATGGATTTCCATGTGCCATTGTTTACCCACATATGCATTGTGTGGCAGTTTAATCACAAGCGGAATGAATTGGTTGCAAGCACTGGTAACAGTTGGTCTTGGAAATGTAATCATATTGATTCCTATCTTGCTTATTGCACAACCGGGTACGAAATACGGAATTCCATTTCCTGTTCTGGCTCGATCAGCGTTTGGAACTTGGGGAAGTAATATACCTGCTATGCTTCGGGCGTTAGTTGCTTGTGGTGTAAGTTCTTGCAAACAGGGTGAAAAAAAAACATGTCTAGATTGTTTATTTTAACGATGTTTTAGTGGCTTGGAATTAATGTTTTTCTAGGCGGTGAAGCGTTGAAAATATTTATTATTGTTGTTTGGCCCAATTATGCCAATCTTGGTAATAATTGGACACTACTTGGTTTATCGATTCCAAGTTGGATCACCTTTCTGTTGTGTTTATTTATGCATGTTATCATTATTTACTATGGTATGGAAGCAGTCAAAAAATTCGAAAATTGGGCAGCGCCTATTGTTCTCATTATGGCTGGTGTTCTTCTCGTTTGGTTAGTGGTCAAAGCTAAAGGTTTAGGTTCAATGTTACATCGTCCATCGAAATTCCAAACATTTCACGAGTTCTGGATCGTGTTTATTCCTTCATTAACAAGTAAATCAATCATTTGGATATGAAAGAATGTGGATTTTTGTGTCGTAAAATAGGTACGGTTGGATTTTGGTCGACTTTAGCATTGAATATTCCTGATTTCACGCGATTTGGGCGTAGTCAACGTGCTCAAATTATTGGCCAATCACTTGGATTACCTTTGACTATGTTAGTTTTCAGCGCTATGGCAATTATCATTACTAGCACCGCTCAAGATGTAATCAGCAATGCCACAGGAAATCTATGGGATCCTGTTTATCTACTTTCAGTCATCACATCACCATCACAGGGATTCTTTTCTACACCAGTACGTTTCATCATCGCTATAGTTTCATTAATCGGCATCTTAATAGCCACAGTATCAGTTAATATCGCCGCGAATGTTGTTTCACCAGCGAATGATTTCGCAAATATGTTACCACGATACATTTCCTTCAAAACGGGTGGTTTAATCACTTGTGTATTAGCTGTTGTGATCATGCCATGGAAATTATTATCCAGTTCGGAAGAATATGTCTTCACATGGCTGATTGGCTACTCAGCTCTCTTAGGTCCATTAGCCGGAATACTCATCGGCGATTATTATTTCTTACGAAAATGTCATTTAGATATCGCAGACTTGTACTGTGATACATATCCTATCTTCACTTATCGAGCGATTAATTGGATTGCTATATTTGCACTTGTGATTGGTATTGCACCTAATATACCGGGCTTTATTCGAAGTTTAGATCTCGATCGGCATCGAGAGAAGAACTTCTTCGATGAAATTTATATGTATGCTTGGTTTATTGGAGTAGTTCTTGCAGGTTTTATCTACGTCCTCGCTATGTTTTTGTATAGACGTGGCAATATGTATAAAATTCGATATCGATTTTAATTTTTTTTGTAAATATATTAATATTAGTTTGATTAATACTTGAAAAATAAAGTTCATCACAAATTTCGAAGACAAATCATAGACCCTCTGCTTAGTTTGGCATTATGAAATCATTCACGATCATTGAGATCGTAAGTTTTCTCCGTCGAATTCAATCAACACCTGGAAAACTTCTCTGACTTCAATCTTTACTGAAGCTACACAGACTCGCGTTGTGATACATCGATGCCAAATCGGATTTGTCCACTCTGTGATAAATCTTTGTTCTATTTGACGATTCTGCATTTGAAAATTCATTATTTATTCACAAATACTTTCTATAAGATACACTATTCTCTCTATTATTTTCCTACTTCTCGTCTCTCGATAGCAATTAAACGATTGAATACGGCGAATAAAAAAAATGATTTTTTCCTTCTTCTTCTTCTAGTAGTTACAGCGACGACAAGTTCGGCCGTGAAGAGTAAAGTTAATTGAAGTGTCTCCAACTAAGAATGCACTGCAAAATGGAACTGTCAAAGGAAGGAAAAGAAAAAGGCACTGATTTGATTTCTTGAGAAAGTTTTCTCGTTACGCGGTATCCTATATTGATGGGGCCGGCGAAGACAAAGAGAAGAAAAACGTTCAGTCCAAAGTTCTTTCAGAGAAGAAAATGTCCTTCTAATTGAATACGTGGAGAAAAGAACAAGCGAGTTTTCCTCTAACATTTGATTGCAATTGAACGAAGGAGAAAACAACACATGGTAATCATTTCTTTTTTTCCACTATTGATCATAATTTCCTATTGAAATATGAAGGCGATCAAAATTCCTAATACCGCTCTGTTGGATGTCTTCGGACGACCAGTGTCGATTAACAGTCAAGACTTTCATCGGTTGTCCCGGGCAGATTACTATGAAAAAATATCGATGAGCAATCACAATGATGCTAAAACTAAAGATTTAAATGTCAATGGTGTTAATCCATTACCAAATCCCACTACGAATCGGTTAACGGTAATTGGTAAGTGAAAATTTGATGGGTTGAGAGAGGGAGAGGGAGAGAATTTTTCAATACCGTTTCATTCTTTGAAGGAGAAACACCACTTCATATCGCAGTGTTCTTCAACGATCTAGCGTCGGTTCAACTTTTGATTAAACATGGTGCTGATGTTAATCAACGTGTGATCGGAGATTTCTATCAGAACGGTCAAAGTCGAGGGAAACACGAAACGAAAAGCAGTAGGCATAGTCGAGCTCTTCGATTCTTTCAGCGCCGTGACAAATCGAATACACGAATCAGTTTGAAGAATGCGTCACCAGAAAGTAAATGATAAAACTTTTCTCAATAAACAGAATCAAATTTACCTATTGAATTTATAAGCTCATGCGTATTATGGTGAATACCCATTAGCGTTTGCTGCGGCATTCGGTTATAAAGAAATCTACGATTACTTAATTGATCATGGAGCTGATCCAAATCTACAAGATTCCTATGGAAATACCGTTTTACACATGCTCGTCATCCGAGATAATTCAGTAAGAAGAAGAAGACCGATTCCTCATTGGAATTCATTTGAATTCTCATTCAAGGATATGTTTAACCACGCTATTCGACATCCAGTTAAAAAAGCGTTGACAGATATTCGAAACAACGAAGGTTTAACAACATTAACACTATCCGCGAAGATTGGTCGAAGAGATTTGTTTCTACAATGTTTGGAATTATCACATGTGGTAAGATTCTGAATAGAGAATAGAAAACGACCGGTTAGGGTACCTCGATGGGAACAGTTGATTTTGCAAAGAATTTACTCGATCGGAAACTTCCGGAGCCGGAATCGGGTCTGAACGCCAATAGAAGTGAAGTTACCTTTGTTTCGCTGACAGCAGGAGAAATGCTCAACGTTGATGACTAACTTTCTCTTTTTTTCTTTTCTAAATCCAAGGAAATCTGGCGTTATTCAAATATCAAATGTTGCACATATCCATTACGTGGAATAGACACGATAGCTGATGGCGGACATATTGGTTTGTTTTGATTTCTTTTTTCGAACTTGTGTTTTTTAATATTCAAATATGGTAGATTGGAACTCTTCATTGATGTCCATTGTCAGCGGTAAAACTGAAGACCATTTAGCGATGCTTGATAATATGGTCATAGAACGTCTATTGAACGATAAATGGTCTTCATTTGCTCGCGTAACGCATATTTTATAAGAAACGATTTCAAAATTTTGAATCTCTTGTATTTTAGGTTAATTTTGTCCGTCAGTTGATCTTACTTTGTATCCATTTATTCTTTTTGAGCACTGCCGTGTTTTTACGGAGACCAAACGATAATGAAATTACAGTCCAGAAAATCTTTTGTCATATCGCAGAAGTTTGTGTCCTCATTGGCTGTATCATCAGTCTATTTGCTTTGCTAGCAAGAGAAATTTATCTCCAAGGTTACAGTTCTTACATACAAAATCTAGTAAGTCTTTTGAATCTTCGATTGTACTTCGAATTGTTTTCTTTCCTAGAGAAGTTATCCGGAAAAATTGGTTTATCAATGCTCATGTATACTGATACTTCTAGCTGTTCCATGTCGTGTTCTGTTTTTAGTCACAAAAAATGTTGCATTTGGTTATGTAGAAGATGGATTAGTGTCACTTGCCGTACCAGGAACATTTTTATATTTTCTTTTTTTCGGACGAATTTATGCACTGACGGGAGCGTTCATTGTTATGATATTCGAGATGATTACAGGAGATATCGCCACATTTGGTGTGATCTATGTTATTGTCATTACAGCTTTCGGACAAGGTAAAACGAAAATTGATTTTTTTTTCTTAATTTCCTTAATGATGACAGTAAGATGAGTTTGGAGGGTCATCGAAGTTCGAGATGATGATCTACAGAGAAACTCATTAGTTTTTTTTTTTGTTGTTGTTGAAATGAATGATGACTATTTCTTTTACTTTTAGTCTTTTATCTTCTCTTTCGCGATACATCTGAAGGTGGAAATTGTCACGAATTTGCCACGAATAACACATGTGAAGTGGAAAACATGTGTTCATTCAAAAATTTTGAAGCATGGATGACAATGGTTCATTTCACTATGGGCGAATTCGATGTATATGCGTAGAACGAAACTTTTTTCTTCCGAAGGAGCTCTTCTCTGTTTTTTTTTCGTCTAGTTTTCTCGATTCGATTTGACTCCCTATGCATATTTAGTGAAGATTTTATTCATCATTTTCATGATTTTAACACCTATACTTCTCTTGAACATGTTAATCGCTTCGATGGGTAATACTTATCAACGCATCATCACTATCAGCGAGAGAGAACGTATTCGACAGGTTTGCTTGTCTTGGAGATAGATCTGAAATTTTCGTGTTTGAATTTAGTGGGCTCAACTCGTCTTAACCATCGAAAGATCTTGTTCTCCTAAACAACGATTTGATTATCAAGGTGCATACGCCATTGGTGCTGATGATAAACGAGATTTGATGGTTATTAAGCGAGTAATCAAAAGTAAAGCAGCTCAACGAAAAGGAGCGATCAGTAATTGGAAGGTAAATGAAGTTCTTTCTTTTTTTTCGCTAAAGACACGATTTGTTGCTCTAGAGAGTTGGAAAGCTTGTTCTCTATCTGTTGAAAGAACAAAAAACCACAGCTGAACATGTTCGTCTTCGCCGTGTTTCCCATCAATCAGTTGTTCTCAAACCGAAAGCTCAGTTTGATCATATGCTTGAGACATTGGCCTGGGAACGCGATATCGATTTATCAGGTCCCAAAGGTTTATCAGCATCGAATCAAAATCTCAATTTAGCTTCGACACTGAATACAGTCGACCTTAACTCGTCTGATCATCATGCTCCGCCGCCGCAATTTGTAACAAACGAATATCCAACGCCATCCTCAGTTCCTCAACGACTCACGGGCAGCCAAAAACCCATCTGTCGTTCGGAATTTTCTGAGCTCCGTTCTCGTCCATCATTCATCGACTATGAAGATTTAGAAATCTTTCAGAACAAACGACCGTTAACCACAGCTCAGCAACCCATTCGACGCGTATCGATGATGCCCGTAGATGCTGATGGATACAAGGATTTACTTCTAGATTTTGATAACAAACGCCGACAATCGAAACGATTAATGTCACGTGGTACATCGAATACAAGTATAAAATCGAAAATTAGTGAAACAACGATCTGTTAAATACACAAACGAATAAATTGTTCAAGAAAAAAAGCAGCAAAATACAGAAATGTTTTATTTTTTCATCGAGGATACTTGATCATTGATTTTGAAACCTTGCACATAACCTGTAGATACAATTTCATCCGAACGGCCTTCTTTACCTTTGCCATGGCCTTCTTCATCGAATCGTTCTTTATGTGTACCTCTAAAAAAAACGAATTGCATTTCATGATAATAAATCTTATTTTTGATATCGAGAATCGATTACGTGTATTGCGTAGTGTCCGTCATGCGATGGGTGATATCTTTGTTAGTAACTTCAGTAACATGATTAAGACTTGGACCTTCATTTGCATTAATTCGAGCAAGAATTGCATCATGACCAACACCTTTAGATTCGGCGATGCGATCGATGAGAACTTTGAAACCTTTGATTTCGAATGTTTTCCTACAGACAGAGACAAAGCAAACAATGAGTGAACGATTTCTTTATCTTACATTCCCTTGGGATAACAAATCGTACTAGGTTCATTCGATTTGATTGTTAACTTTCCTAGTACACGCGCGATGTCATTATCTAATAATTGTGAAGTATATTTGCTGTCAATTAACGAACAATCTTTCATCATTTTCTGAATGCCTGCTGAGCCAATACGAAGACCATGCTGATCCGCTAATTGGGCTTGAGTTTTGCCAAATTTCGAATATCGATCGAATGCTTTCTGCAAGCCTGACGACGGTTTGGAAGGCATTATGAACTAATGTCGTGGAGAGAAATTACAGAGCAGAAGAATATGTCACTTCACACACGCACTAGTGTTGGAATAACTCATTTTTTCTCTTTTTTTCCCATCGCTGAAAAAAGCTAGATGACATTTCTTCACTGCCGCAAGTTGCATCGAGCTTGCCATTCCGTCTCTCTTTCTGACCGTTGATTGAACATCAGAAAGAAAACATATGTAGAACTAGCTCGACAACCCACATACAAAGTTCACGCAATTCAATCAAGTCTCATGAGAGAGAAAAAGAAATCGATAGGACTTCCTCGCTTTTCTCTCCTTCTCTGTCTCTCTCTTCCTTTCTCACGACAAGACCAAATGACAAACGCCGTTCTACAACACAAATAGTAATGAGATTTTGTTCTCTATTGATTCATACGAGATTGGAATATAGTGATTGATGAAAGAAATTAAATACTTGCAATGAATTTCGATGATGAAATCGCCGTATTAATTAATTTCAAATAGAAACAAACTCGTCCGAATTAGTTCTACTTCATAACTATCCTAATGTCAAGAATTGCAAAACCAATGAACTCCTAACACACTTAGCGAAAGTCCTCCGTTCCATAAACCAAGACTAAAAAAAAGAGCGATTTGAAATAAGAAATGAAATGTGCACTTTTCTCTGCTAATGTATTCACATATAAATTACTAATCTATTACCGATCTTATCATGTGTTTACTTATACAAACTCAGACAAAATGGCCGACCATAGTGTTCTTCCCGCCCACGACTAATTGAATTCTCATGTTTAGAACTTAATAGATAGGAATCAACGTCAGCTGAAGGATGCTCACTGTCAACTTATACATCGAGGTATTTCGTGTCTTCGTGCAGTTCAACAAATTAATCACACAGGCTTGACATGGACGCCTACTATTGAAGACTTCGAGAGAAAAACCTGATAGTTCGATGTCCTTCAAGACCACCCATTTGGTTATGTGGGAAGAGAAAACAAATGAGATACTTTCGTATTCTCACATTTAATCTGACGAGAATTCCGTTGAGTAATCGAACATTTATTGTTTTTTTTCTCACTGATCATTGATCAATTTTTCATTGTTTGTCAAATCCAATCGAAAAGAGCATCATTTTTCTATTTTTAATCAGACCGTTGAGTAAGAATTGCTTTTCGCATAAATACACGCACACATCGAGACATTTTCCAGTCATTAGAAGTCATTGTTATTCCTTCGAAATTATGCTATCTACAGGTTCGTCGTCGAACGGATTCTTTCAATTCGTCTCTTATCTTCTCTTACTTATCTGTTGTGTCGTTGTTGTCGTAAGTTCATAATCGAATGACGCTTCCGACGAAGTCATTCTTCTTTATCTTAGACATCCTACAGAATCGAGCACCGACCATTTGAAAATCGAAATGAACGCGCTGTAACGGAATGGCGCTTTCGACGTAATTTTCTATTTCCAATTCCTTATTTTTATCCGAACGATGCGGTAAATCATGTCGGAAATCTTCTCGACGATATACTTTGCTCTTTCTTTTTCTTTGCAGAATGAACATTTCGGTAGCAATGAGGATGTCGAGAACGAAAATGATACGAAGAACTATCGTGTCCGATATGCTCCTCATCTCATCTACGATCAAACTAATTGAATCCAAGTATTGATTCTCTTCGAATTTTTTGACCAATAAAAACTAGCTCGTCGCAAGTCTCATCTTTTCTTTTCTTCGACTCAACCAGATTACGTTATAATTACTGTTAAATCCTCCAATTTGAAGCATATAACCTCGGAGAAAGAAACACATTCGAGAAACGATTAACACGAACGGCCTTGATCAGGTGTCGGGACAAAGAAATCTACTTCTTAACATCTGTCAATAGCGCTGCTCGAGATAAGAGTGTTGATTTTCATAAAATTTGAATACAAAGTAGCAAATAAACGAGACGAATATTAATGGTAAATAAGCGATCCTATACTTGAATATGAAATTTATTAAATGACAAGTCTTCGGGGAGATTCGTCAATAGCTATTTGATATGAGAAATGAATCGAATAAGACGTTCTTCCTACAGACGAAGTATGGATCGTTTTAGATGACAGAAAAATTTACTGTAATCAATCAACATTTGTTTTCTAATGTTCGCGTGTCATTTCCTAGGCGAGTAATCTATTATAATTGAAACAATCTAGATGTCCTTGTCTTTTTCCTGAAAATATACGTTCGAACGATGCTGACTCACGCACTTTATGTTCATTTTCCTAGTTAAAGATGACATTCGGAAGGCAACTATTCATTTTCATTATTAACCTATAAACATCCCGTGCGAACGCACAAAAGAAATGAAATGAAAAGGTCGAAAATAAATCTTCTCGCATCATTGTCTATTGAAAATGGCAATCGCAAAAATGTGACAATAACCACAACATGATGCCATTTCAACACGCGAGAGATCATCTGGAATTCTCTCGTGCGATTCGTCTTCATTAATGAAGAACTTTCATAGTAAGAAGATATCTCTCGCGTCGATGTGCTGCTATCCATACTACTCTGATTGTTTCTCATTGTCAAGATCAAATAATAAACGTTGATTCTGATCGAGACGTGTGACTGTTTATGTATGTTTTTTTCCATCTAGTTTGTTTTCTTATTCTCTCTCTCTCTTTCCCTCTCTCTCTCTCGTTTTATTTGTTTGCTTGGTTCTCCGTTCTTTTTTCACATTCATCCGCAATAATTATAACAAAAACAAGAGAACGACAGCATTACTAGCGAAGAGAACAGCGATAGAACGCGCGCGCGCGCACATACATACATAACCATATGCATTTTCTATATAGAGGAGTGCTCTTCTCGTTGTCGGCGACGTGGCGACCAT